ACATGCTGCTCTGTTGAAGAATATTTTCTAAGGAAAATAATGGCAACAAGGAGCTAAAATGACTTATTTCCCACCCAGTCCTCTTTTTTTTTTTTTTTTTTCCTGAAGCAATTACAATTTATTAATGTCTCGTACAAATATCTTTCTAGGTCTGTCTTGCATGTGAAATATGGTACTTCATTTGTAGTTTTAAATAAAGTACTTCCTCTGCTGACATGTTGGACCAATGCATCACTAAGAAAAGATATGACTATGAGTTCTCTGCATGTTTATCGTAAGTCCTGTCTGCTGAGGAAAAAGAGGAATTGCAAGCCTGAAGCTAATGGAAGTAAATAAAACACTGCTGTCAAATGATGTAAGCAATTTAAGAACCTAAAAGTGTTTTACAAACATTCTTTGTTATGTCATCTGTCCAAACAGATAAACATTGTTGGTCTTATTACACAAATATAGAGAGTAAGGGGCAGGAAGGTTTCTTCTTACATGACAAGATGTCTCACTGGCAAAGTCAAGCAAAGGTGAAGGTAAAGATAAATGGAGAAATACAACTCAGTGCTTAATCACTGTTACCATACCCTACAACTACCTCAGTAATTAAAATATCATTCATCTAATCAAGTGCAAGAGAATATAAGATCAACAGTGTGAACTCCAGAACATGCCACCTGGGACAGGGCATGATCCTAAGCCACGTGCTGCAGGTTCACTACATCAGCATACATCAAATCAACACTCTCACCATTTCTGTTCCCAAAAAAACTGTACAAAAACCTTATAGGAAAGATCCTGCATGATCAAGAGGTCAATCACTTTACTTCTACCTATCCATTACTGATTGTTTTATTTCTAGTGCTCAAAGCCCGTCTCCAATGTGAGACTGAAAGCACAGCGTAGGTGAATATCAAGAAGCAGAGGAAAGGAAAAACCAATCCCAGCTGAGTACTATCACAAAGTCACTTTTAATTTGATTGAAGTTTCTTTTCACACAAACTACTGGGTGAGAATTAAGGTGAGCGCTGCTGTTACAGGATTCCCATCCGCTCCTACCAGGGGCAATGGGCCTCACTGGCAGAAGCAGGCGTGCAGCACCCAGTATCTATGTGGGCTGCACTGACCTCAAGCTCCTACTGAAATCTAAAGGCAGGTGCTTAAAACATGATGCAGCTAGCCCACAGTATATCTGCTACATTCAGTGGATGTAACTGATATTTTCTACTCAGAAATTATTACTAAATTCTGAGTTACCATCACCATGCCATTCCATCTGCATTGTAACTGATGATTGGAAATGCAATTGTACATCTCCAGAAACAGTATGTTACCCAAGTAACCAGGGAATGATGATTACAAAACATTTTGGCAGGCTTGAGCTCCAATTAAGTTGTTACAAAAACTTCCTGCACACCTGGACACATCACACCGAAAGCAAACAAGTTAGGTAAATAACATTCTCCTGTGAATAAAACCATGCATTCTACCTACCCTACTAGGGGATTTGGACCATGCCTAGCCAGTGCCACAAAATCGTTCAGTCTTGGATACATTTTGCATCTTTGAACAGAGAAGGATTTACTGATCTTCCCAGTGGGTTCCTGCTTTAGCATGAGGAAGACATTTTAAGTCCATTCAATAACTCCAAGAAGGTGGGGGGGGGGGAAATCCACCCCTCTACCTGCCTCTGGGGCATCTCAGATACCTCTCAGTGCTCTCCTTAAGCATGAAAGGTATTCAGCAGCCGTTCAACGTGCCCTTTGGGTCACGCACAAGCTAGAAATCCCAAACATAAACCCAAATAAGTGTAAAAATAAAAGCGTAGAGAGCTGCCTATGTTCCCGCTGTAGCACGCACCTTACGGCAGGGCACGATGCACGCTGCACTTTATCGAGGTTTGCGATAGCGGGACCCGCAGTCGGCCCCTACTCACAGAGCAGCCCCAAGCTCGCAGCGCTCCCGTGGAAATCTCCGGCGAAGTTTTCAGGTGATGTCAACAACAGGAAGGACGACTTCGAGCCAGGTTTCCATTTCTCATCAGCCGCTGCCTTAGAAGTTGGGAGGAGAGCGGGTTTACACCAAACCCGACGCGGGCTCCGGCACCCCGCCCCTTTCCCCGAGCCGGGCTTCCCCTTCTCCTACCGGGGGCCGCGGTACGAAACGCTTTCATCACGCGGACATCGGCCCCCGTTCCGCGGGGCCCACGCCCCTACGAGCGCGCTTCCCACGGCCCCCTCACCTCCGTGCCGCCGGGCTGCGGCTCCCGGACTCGGCTCCGCGCTGCAGTCCGCGCCCGGGACGAGCCCCACCACCTCCGCCGCCAGCCCGCCCGCCCGCTCGCCCCGGAGGTGGTGCCGCCGAGCCGTGCCCGCTGCGACGGCGACACCCAGCGGCGGCGCCCCGCCGGCCCGACCCGGCCGAGGAGAGGGGGGCGGCCAGCGGGGAGTCGCCGCGCCGAGCTGCCGGGCCGCTGCCGCCCCGGTGCCCTCGCGGTGTTCCAGTGCAGAGGCGTGGAGGGCGGCGAGTCGCTCGGCAGCCCTACCTGGTGCGGGCCGGGCAGGTCGGAGGCCGGGAAAGGGCGGGCTGGTACGGAGCCAGAGCCTGGACGCGGTCTTGAGGTGCTCTCCTGAATGCAGGCTCTTCTGCAAGGCAGTCGTGGAGATACAGAAGCCCAAGTCGTGCCAGAGCACTGAACGCAGATGGGCCAGGTGCTCTTCTAGCCAGCAGGCTTTCAGGGCTGGGCTGAAGTCTGAGAGCCTGGGGGAGAGCTTGCTGCACCTGAGCACCACATCACCCAGCCTTCTCTTCACTGCAGGGCCCTTTGGTGCACCTCAGCTGTATGTCTGTGTGGGCATTCATGTGTGTAAATCAGTAATTCACAAACTGGCAGGAAGGTAAGTTAGACAGGAACATCTTTGAACAGAACAGGAGAAAGGGGTTGGTGCGAGTAGGCAAAGTAGCATAACAGAGGAGGGATCCAAAGAAAGAGAAAACAGAGCAACACAGTTCCTAATGCAGAGATACTGTGGGCATTTTGGTGCAAAGTCCTCTTCCTCTGCCAGGAGGCATTCTCAGGATGATGGCCTGAATGAAGCAAACATCAAAGCATCACAGGCACTAAAACTTGCAATGAATATATATTTGTGAATGGTTTGTACCAATCCCAACATAATGCCCCCATCTAATACATTGTTCATGAAACAGTTATGATGGTATTAGTATTCTGTGCCAGTATTCACACCAATTCTTGCTTCTCAATGTTCTATAGATTCACTGACTCTATAGCTTGGTCAGGATTACTGTGCTAGTCCAAAGCCTGGCAGTGTTACAGAAATCAGAATATAATTGCTGAAATGCACAAAAGTAGGCTGTGATTGCTTACGCTACAGCTTTGGTTCCTCATTCCCATATTCAGTATAGGCCTTCTCTGTGGGAACTTTATTGATACTGTGTGAAATTCTGACATGGGAACAGAAGTATTGGTGCAAGTAACAGTTAAGCTGTGTATTAAGTAAGTTCCACATGTGCAAATTCTTGCAGGAGATCTTTGATGGTTATGATTGAGAAACAAGATATTAACACATTGCAGAAAAAAAAAGGTTTCCCTGGCATTGATCTACAAGCCATCTGATGGGAGTTTTTCCCCTTTAAAGAAGCAGGATGAGACACTGTCCTGATCCCACAAACCTCGATGTGGGTGGCCCCCTTGAATATGGCGATGTCAGCAAGAATACACCTGTGCTCAATTGTCGTTAACCTCTTTCATCCAGAGAGTCAGCTTTGTGTTCCCTTTTCTAGTTTTGTTTTCTATCAGGAAGAGAAAGTCATGAGGAATTCCCTCACTTGCCTGAAACAGAAAATATTTGTCGTGTCTGTGAAATGTAACTCCCTCTGAAGCAGTCCACTCACGTGCAATATCTTACACAGTGTATATTCAAAGACTTAGACCCATGTCCACTTTCCCTTACCACCAGTCTGTGAGTGCAGGCATGGCAGTGCTTCATTGTGTGCAGCAGGCTTGGGAGTTAAATGATCTGATGAAAGAAGAAAAGAGATTAAAAAGAAAGTGAAAAGGGGGAAAAGGAGAAAAAGAAAAAAAAGAAAATATTAAATGTGGAGGGGATAGAGCAACTGGTGGTAAAGGGACAGAGGATAAACAAGTCCTGAAGTTCAAACAGAGCCCAGGACGGATTATATTGCTGAGAGGTTGGCAGAAATGCTTCAAGCTCCACTCAAAGAAATCTACCTGGAGTTGAGCATGGCATTTAGAGGGCTCTAAACCTGAAGCTGTAGTCAAACAAATGGTCACTGGCTTCAGCACTGTGGGAAGTGTGCTTTAATCAGTGCTGTCCTACCTCAGCTTCCACGCCTTCATTTGGTATTTCAGTATCTCCAAATTATTATCTGTGACTGCTGCTGTTTCACAGCCCTTTGTGTAAAAGAAATCTGATACAGTCAGCCAGGCCGTGGGCAAGCCCTGTTTTCCCTGATCAGCTTTGAAACCAGCTGCCCTTCCTGTGCAGATGTGATCTGTGGCATGCAAGACAGACAGGTCTTTATTAACAACACGGAAACTTTCCTCCTGTTTCTATCAGGGGTTTTCAACAGATTGGTGTCTCCAAGGGCCGTCCCAAGACAGAAACAATGCTGGTGTACGTTCCTGCTCTACATTTAAGTCTTGAATCCTTGTAATGGACTTAACGTTAAAATATTTCACATCACATTTTGGTAAGCTGTTAAGCTGTTCACAGGAAAAACTTCCAAGCAGGTGGATGAGTTGAGAATAAGGAAAGGCATTTATTGAAATCTGCATATTGGTAGATCTGTCACTACCGGGGATGTAAAGGATGGATTCCTCCTCTCTTTCCTCTCTGGAAAAAGCTGTTCCTCCATTATCTCAAGTGGATTAGAGCAGCCCGAAGGCCTCTTGATAAGAGGCAGTCAGTGGACAGAAAGAGACATAGCACGTACTGGTGGAGCCCAGCTACCAGAGGTGACTTTCTCTGGTCGGGCTGCACGGAATGATGGCCAGAGGGTCAGCGCTTGAAGCAATTCGAGAAAGCAAAAGCAGCGCCGGGAGCCCTGGCAAAGAGCTTTCAAACCCTATAGAAAGCCTAACTGCAATAAAAAATGATCATTTTTTTCTGCAGCTGCCTGACGCCCCACAGCCACCGCGGCCCCGCGCACCCAGCGGCCCTCCCTTGCCAGAAGCCGCGCCGTCCCCACGGACGGCTCCAGGACCCCGCGCTGCGGCAGCCCTCAGACCGCCGCCTCCGGCTTCGCGGCGCCGAGCCCGGGCTCAGCTCGGGGCCGGTATCGGCAGCGGCGGGGCTCGGCCTGCGCGTCAGGTGACGCGGGTCGCGGCGCCGCGCTCTCCGCCCAGCGGCGAGCGGGGGAAGGGAGCGGCGGCGGCGGCGCGGGGCCGTGTGGCGGCGGCGCGGCACCTGGGCTCCCCCCGAGGCCGCCGGCAGGCAGAGGGGCTCTCGCAGCCTCTCGCAGCCCCGGCGGGGAGCGCGGCCGGCATGAGCCAGGTGCCGAGGAAGTTGCCCCAGGAGGAGGGGGACGAGGAGGAGGAAGAGGAGGAGGAGATCGTGGGCTTGGCGGGCTACGCCGACGGGGCCGAGTCCTTCTCGGACGGGGACGCGGAGAGCGGCGGCGATGAGGCGTGTGAGTGCTGCCAGCCGCGGCCGGTGCGGGCGTGGGGCGGGGGAGCAGGCCTCCGTGGGGCCGGGAGGAGCCGCGCCGGGAGCCGCGCGGGCGGCGGGGTCAGCGGGAGCGGGGGGGGCTGCCGGGGGCTGAGCGAAGGCTGCCGGGCGGCGACCGGCTGCGCGGGGGGGGGAGAAACGCAGACAAAGCGCTGCGGGGAGGGGGATGGTCCCCTCGCACGCGTTTCCCCGTCTGGTCGAGATGCGAGCCGGCCGTGCCGGGGAGGGGTGCTGCCGGCTATAAAAGGCAGCGGCGGCCCCGCGCTGGCAGGCAGCTGCCGGTGTCAGTCGTCGGGTTTGCAGGCTCGGCCCGGGGCCCGCGGGTGCTGGTCGGCGGGGATGGGTGCGGGGGATGCGGGCGTCCCGAGGGGAGCAGCGCCGCTCCGCAGGGAGAGGCGCGCCGGCTCAGAGCCTGTTGCTCTCGTTCTGAGCGTAGGTTTGGGAACGCTGCTTCGCTCGGGAGCTCGGAGGGCTCTGGGGACGTCCATGTGAAATGAGAATTGCTTTCTAATAATTGCAGAACAAAGGGCTGCGTGCTGTAAGGCTACGTGCTGGTTAGCCTTTCCTCAGAAAGCCCAGTCCTGCGAGCTGCCGTGGGGGCTGACTGACTCCCACAGTTTGGGGGCAGTCGAAGCTCCAAGCTCGGGCGTGGGGCTGTAAGGACGCTGGGATGCCGGAGATGTAACTGAAACTAATTGATGTCTTGTGTGAAGCTGCTGAGGAATCGCCTTCATTTTGATGCAGAGAGAATGTATTTCAGTGCATTTATTTAGTACTAAACCGACAGCACCTTCTGCAGAGAAGTAATCCATTTTCTGCTCTCGGAGGAATTTATTTGGAAATTTTTAAATGGGAGCTTTATTAAATTGCTAAAAAATGGCAATTGCTTCTTCACAGTAACATGAGAATATTGTACCTAATGAAAACAAACCTTGACATCCTGAATAGCAGGCAAGTGAAGAGACCTCTCCACTCCAGGGCTAACAAAGGCTTATTGTACCAGCCATACCCCCTGCTCTTCTGCTTGGTTCTGAAGTCTCTGGAGAGAAAAGAGGGGGTTGATCTGGACTTTGTGTGTCTGAAACTGGCCTCGGGGCAAGGGGCTTTCCTTTTCCCAGTTTCTATCCTATTTCTTCCTGCTTTTGTACAGTAAGCAGTCTGAAATACAGTATCCCAGCCTCCACGTGTGGCTGTTGAAAGTGAAGGGAGAAGCCAGGCTTCAAAGTAAAAGCATAATTTGTGCACGTAGGCACACAGGATATTTCAAAACGCTGTGTTGGTCATCTCTCACCCTCTGCTGTTTTCTTGACTCCAACCTGAGCTGAAATGACTGCTGTTTGTTCTCCACTTCATCTTTTGACTTTAGGCATGGGGTCATACTCAAATACCTTGAAGCACTTGGTTTACATAACACCTATTCATTGTTTGGATACTTGCATTTAAAAAGTATTTACAAGCAGAGAAACTTCCTGCAGAGTGTCCGAAGAAGTAGCTTGAAGTTGGATCCTTGCAGAGTGCTGCACCTGTGGTAGAGTAGAGCCAAGCCTTCTGGTTCTGAGTCTTTGCCCACAAGAATTTCCTTCCACCAGGCATTTCTGCAATGTTCATAAACCCACAGTAGCTGAACGGCTCTCTTGATTGCACATAAGCTTTTTCTGTTAACTTTTCAGGCTCAGGCCACTTTCAGCATTGAAGATGTGCAGTGTGTATATTTATAAGGCTATTGTCTTAAAAACTGCAAACATCACAGTCCCAGTAGTGCTGAAAATGCCATGAGTTGAATGGCCTTATGGGTACTTAAATGAAAAGTATGGGACTGGTAGTTCTCCTCTATAGAAGAGGTAAAAGCTTAAGAAAAGAATGATGTAATTGCATTAGTAGGCCAAAAAAATAATTGTTCTTAGCTCTATTAGTTAAAATGGTCTTGGAAGAGATTGTTAACGCAGTAGAATGAACAGAAATGTAACTTTCGGTTTGGCGTAGCTTGAGCAGATGAGCTTCTGTGCTTTGTACATTTGAGAACTGCGGTCTCCTTGCTGATGGGATCTAAACATGCACCTTCCAACATGGCATCCCCTTCACACGTGGCTGTGGAGCACTGATAGACCCAGGCTTCTGAAAAATAATTGTAGCTGATGTGGAATTTAGGATGGGTTTCAACAACTGTTAATTATTTTAAACATTCTGGCCGTACGTTATTCATTCTGTTTGTGTCCTGGTGAAACAGACCAGCTATGTGCAGTTCCCAACTCTTCACAGCTGGGCTCTTCTTTGTGTTGCAATGCACACGAATAACACTCCACAAATGCGCACTACCTGCTGTTAAAGAAATTTTGTCAGGAATTGAGTCCTTCTGTGTTGTGAAAGGGCTTTGGGGTTTGTTAAAATTAATTTGTGGATACTTCAAAGGCTTTAGCTTCTAGCCAGAGTGTTCTTTGTGGCTGCTTAGTGGAGTTGAAATGTGAAGGAGAACTGTTGGTATGTGCTAGAAACTGGCATTTTATGACTATGCAAAAGTGAATGAAGTAGGAAACGTGTCTCATCTGATGACATGGAAAATTATCTTTCCCATTATGGAACAGAGAATAGTTTAATGTTTCTCATGCATAGTATATTCTTGCTTAGTAACCCAATCTGGGAAGTTGCGAGGATACATCTACTGACATTGCTATGGCAAATTAAAGGAGTTGTCATGTACTCTGGAAAGGAATGTGGGCAGGCAGTGTATCATCCAATTCCTTTACATATAAGGTAATCTTCTAACTCCCTCTCCAAGGAAAGTGCTACAGCAGCTCTGCTATCTAGTCAGGTTTGGATGATATTAATTCACATTTCCCTGTCTTTGAACTGGCAGAATTTCAAGAGCTAAGTAGCACTCCTACTAGTAGAAGAGACAGCGTTCACTCTACTTGCTAGTAACTGTTTGCACTTCCAACTCTGTTCTTTAATACGGTTTTAATATGATTCTTTTCTAGTAAGTATTACAGTTCATAAAAACACGTCTACATGGGAAAACATAATATAGCAACAATTTAAAACTCCAAGTTATTTTAAATATTTTTTTTAGGTACCTGTGCATTTTTTTGGCCTATTTCTTAAAGAAGTAGCTACCCTGTCTTCTTGCTGTCTCATTACTTGTCAGAACTTTGGGAACTACTGGCCACCTACACTAGAATTTGAAGGAAAGAAGTCTCAAATATGATTGAGTTTGTGCAGGCTTGATGAAAGGTAGCGCTGAGAGGAGGCTCCAGTGAAAGTGTTCTCAGAGACAGGCAAGCAGATGGATGCATGCTGCGGCAGTACTTGGCTGCCTGGTGCACGCCTGTGTGCTGTTGAGGCGTGTGGTCAGCTCCAGATCAGCCACAGCATGTCACATCAGTTTTTTGGAGGGTATGTCATAAGACATACAGGGAAGTTGGTGTTACTGTGGTGGGGAGAGGAAAGGGAAACAGTACACAGCCACAGCAAACCAGACTTGGTAGGTTCTGTTATGAACCGAGCAAAGTGGAGTTTTTTTTATAATTCTTTGGAACATGCAATAAAGCATCAACCCAAAGTCTGGTTTTTGTATGCATTTTGAAAATAATGTATTCAAACTAGTTCTTGTAAAGCTTTGACTAAGTTATTTTCCCTTCAGGTAGTCAAGATGTAGATTGCAGGATGTATGGATGCATGAACATTAATAAATCATTGTATTTTTAGCAGCTGTAGAGAATCTGTGCATTAAGGAGAGTGGAGTGAAAGAAGCTGTTAAATCTTACTCCTTTGGTTTGCTTTGTTGACAAGACTGCGCCCCGCAGAACGTAATGAATGCTGTCACATTGTCTTAGAGCAGAGGCTTATTATTCCTCTCTTTCTTGGTTTGAAGTATCTTAGGCACATATTTCATGCAGTCACAGAATGATATTATTGCTCACGTTGACAGGAAGGGTAGAGCAGTGTGTCAACTGTAGTTAATTACTTCCTAAATATTGCTGCCTGACGATCAGCTGCTGTTGTCCATTGTTGCATTAGGGGGATGAGAACCTTACGGTCCCCAGCAGCTTGCTGCTATTTTGCTTGAAGGATTTCATCTGCGTGCTGCTCCAGGTTGGCAGTGTCCTGTAGGTGAGGCATGACAAAGCACAGTACGTGGAAATAACTGCCAAGGCCTGCCAAAATGCCCAGGATCTCAAAGATCAGTGGTCTGTCAGTCACTGTGGTACCAGGGACTCACGGTGAGAGCCGTAAGTACTGGTGAGCCAGCAGGTGGTGCAATTCCAAATTCACCTTAGCAGAAAATGAGTAAGAAATGCAATTTCCCTCTGCCTTGAATTAGGTTGGACAGTCTGTTATGCAGTAGGTAGGAGAAGGCGTGCCTGGCATCTTGTGTGCTTGGCTTGTTGTATGGTCTACGTTTTAAACCTGACTGCTGTGTGCCGAGAGCCTTATTCTGCAGATCGAGCGTTGGCATTTTGTGTTGCTTATGTTTGGTCCTGCAAACAGGATATCATAGTATTATTTTAAAACTTTTTTCCACTATATTTAGCACTAGGTTCAGCTCAGCATCACGGGACATTTCAAAGTTACAGACCTACTACATTTTAGTAAGAGATTAGACTGACGTAGCTATCTTAATTAGACATTCCTGAAACTGAAATGGGTGTGATCTCCAGTGTGAAAGGCTATATAGTCATATCCATATATCAATATAGTTTATTCCTCTAAGTCTCTTTATGCTGATATAACTGCATCATCCCTGAAACATGTTAACTTTTAGTTGCATGAGTTTCAAATTACAGTAGGTAACACAACTGAATAACGGTGTTTTCAGGTCTTTGTTTTGCAGATAGGCAAGGGTTATCCTGTAATCTTATTTATTGGATAACAACTTTGTATAGACTGTAACACAAATTATTTAACAGCAGGTGAAATCATAATGGCCTTAGAAATGGACTTCTCTTGAGCTCAGTTCTGTGCTTTAAGTCCCAACAGGAGAAGATGTGTGCCTGCTGAGTTGTCCTCTTCCTATGGCTCTTGGGATGTGTGATTCCTTTGCTTAGAGGAAGGAAGGAAGCCTTTGTGTAGCTTTACAATGTCACACAAATGTAACTAACACAAGCTCACTTCTTGCTTCCAGAAGCATGATCTAGCTGTTGGTTGACAGAGGTATTTGTTACTGGATACTCTTTTTTTAAAGTTGAGTTAGAATGTTTTATTGTGTTACAATAAAATTACATATGTGAGGATGGCCGTGGGATAAAATAATTTTCATGTACAAACTAAGCATGCTGTCTGCAGCTTCTGCTATGGGTGAAAAGTAGTTTTTCTTAGTCCACTCAGGGGCAAAGAATCCAGGCCAAAATGTCTGCAGTTCCCTCAGTTTAAAAATCAGTAATGTTTGCATAAATCCAACTCAGAATGTCATGAAAATAAATGTCAGATTCATGTCATCTGTCAGTTACTCATTAATTATGTTGCTATAGTATGTTACTCTTCTTCTTGTATGATTTTATTCAGTTTTGGATTTCAATGATCCCTTCAGTACTGAAGTTAAGCCACGAATCCTGCTCATGGGTTTGAGAAGAAGTGGGAAGTCTTCCATTCAGAAAGTTGTCTTTCACAAAATGTCACCAAATGAGACCCTCTTCTTGGAAAGCACAAACAAAATCTGCAGAGAGGATGTATCCAACAGCTCCTTTGTCAACTTTCAGATATGGGATTTTCCTGGGCAGATTGACTTCTTTGACCCCACATTTGACTATGAGATGATTTTCAGAGGCACTGGAGCACTAATATTTGTTATTGACTCTCAGGTAAAAAAAAACAAAAACAAAAACAAAAGTGTGTATGGGGTTGCATTTAAGCTACCTTTATCTTTTTTTTTTAGCAACATACAAGTGGAAAACATAGATTCTTCAAAGCAAATAAATAACTTATGGTTACAAAAGCACATTTACAGGAAGTCATTAAAACTTAAAGAGCTGGTTGGCTATTTTTAATCTCCCTTTGCAAGATGTTTAAAACAGTTAACTGCTTTAACATTGCAAGGTTCTTGTTCAGTCTCCCAAGTGCTGACAGCTTAAGGTCAGTGCACATGATGGATACAAGCTCAGTTTTCTACTATAAGAAATAAAGAACCTAAGATATTGTTAATCTGTAGCATTATCTAAAAGTAATTACTGTAATATTTTAGATATTTTGCACATCTTTCCTGCAGTTTTTATTTTTCCTTCATTAGGATGATTATATGGAAGCATTAGCTCGGCTGCATCTTACTGTGACCAGAGCATATAAAGTGAATCCAGACATCAACTTTGAAATCTTTATCCATAAAGTGGATGGCTTATCTGATGATCACAAGATTGAAACACAAAGAGATATTCACCAGAGGGCAAATGATGACCTTGCAGATGCTGGATTGGAGAAAATTCATCTCAGGTGAGAAAAGCTGCTGTACAAAAAATCTTAAGTTGGAGAGAAGCTGTTTATTTAACAAGTTAATATTTTCTGTTCTCTTGAAGTAGCAAGCAGAAAGATTTTGACATATGAAGGAAAAAGTCACAGATAATTTGTTTGGCTCAGGTCAAATGCAGTATCTTATTTCTGAGTGGTCTTGAAAAGCAAGGTAAGGAGCAGAAATGCTTAAAAACGGATGACAAATGTCAGAGTCCTGACAGTTTTTGTTGCAGATTCTGTCTTGAAATTAGAAGTATGGGCAGTGGAAACCTGTAGAATGCATATGCCATCCACATCACTTTTGTCTTCGAAACTGCTCCTTGTCTCACCGTCATCTCCCAGTCACTAGTTCTCATTGTTGCAGCCTCCTCAGAGCAACTTGGGAAGGCAAAGAGAGAGCACCTGTCTTGTATCTGATGATAAAGCAAATGATTGTAGCAAACAGTTAAAAACAGTGAACTTCTATAGACTAGAAACTAGGGAGACATCAAGTTTCCATATTATTTTTAGTGCTTATAGCCAAGTACAAATAGATGTATAGAAAGATACTGTTTTATGAACCTGTCAACACTTAAGAGCTCTTAAAAACTTGACTGCATTGTGCATTGTAAAATGTGTCCAGCTTTCAAAAAATTAAGCCACACTACCTATGTTCAGTAATGTTCCTCTTCTGCAATTTGAAAAATGTTTTCTAAGATTACATTATGAAGGGGAATTACATCATGAAGTCCTACATCAGGTGCTCATTTGCATTGTTTAGGTGTTTTGTTGTTGTCTGCTTTTTATATGGAGGTATGCATTGCTGTAGCAAGTATAATTGTGAGAATTTAGTTTCCGTATGAAGGCCTGTGCTTCAGTCATAACATGTGACTTTTGATCACAAGGAGTAATTGCATAATTGTAGGCACTTGCTGTTTGACAATATTTCGTTTCACTCATAATATGAAAGGTGCATCATGTTCACAGTATGTAACTAAAAGAAAAATCTGGTGATTTTTTTTTTTCCAGCTTTTATCTGACAAGCATATATGATCATTCTATATTTGAAGCATTTAGCAAAGTGGTACAGAAACTGATTCCACAGCTCCCAACACTGGAAAATCTGCTTAACATCTTTATTTCAGTAAGTACTTGCTACGTGTTTTGTCTATAGATGAAGCTATGACCATCATGCACACTGAAATATCCTATTTGCTGCCTTCTGAGAGATTGTGAGCAACGTGAACATTCAGAGGAATTATCAAAATATAGTTGAAATGCACTCACATGAAGCTAGGCCTCCCTTCCTTGTCTGACAGTATTGCTGAACTGCTGAGGTACAGCATTTTATGAGTGAAAATGGCACATAAAGTGCATTAGCAGTCATAGAATCATAGAATCACAAGGTTGGAAAGGACCTACAGGAACATCCAGTCCAACCATCCTCCCACTACTGCTGCTACCACAAGCATTAAACCGTATCTCATAGCTCCTCATCCAGACACCTCTTGAACACTGCCAGGGACGGCATCTCCACCACCTCCCTGGGCAGCCATTCCAGTGCCTGACCACTCTCTGAGAGAAAAAGTCATTGCTTTCCTGCTTTTAAGTTCATTTGAGTGTTACAAAAGCCTGTGCTGTATGCAGTTTTTAAAGTAGTACTCGAAATTTGTGTTGATAAATTCTTAAAGGAGCGTCATCTGGTCTGACTTTTTATGTAAGAGAACTGTCTATAGTACTACCTAGAATTTATTCTATTTTGCATTGAGATTTATCTCTCTTACGAAAATGTAGTCTTAACATTTTGGAGGTAGAGTCCACCACAGCTTTCACAGCTTCCACAGTTACTTCCAAGGCCAGTTAGGGAACTTTGTATATCTAACATCCTGCTGTTGCTGTGGAGGTAATTGCTTGTTTTACTGTTCCTGAATGTATGGTCTGTTCCCTTTCTTTATGCTGGTTGTTACACCTGCCTGTTCCCTTATGGAGTCACTCTGACACATAGTCATACAGGAGAAGACTGTCCAGTTCTTTTGCCTGTTTCATTTAGTCAAAAGCAGCTCATGAAGGAAACCAACATACTCTTTTTGTGGCCCAAGGTTAGAAACGGGGACATGTGACAATGAGGAATGGGAAACACATTAAGTAGTTGTGAGAAAGGAGAGTTTCCCCCCCTTTTCTTGATGCATTAGTTCAGATCCTAGCGGCTCCTGGAACTGTACCCGTTCTTGTACCTCGCATTAGCATTAGTCAAACTTTAGTTTCCAAACAAGGCATTTTGGCTTGCCTTTTTGTGATTCTGAAGTCATGAAATTATTTAATATCATTCAACAGCCTGTAGGATAAAATAAGACTTCACAGTTTCTCAGTGTGGGGTGTGAAAATTGGGAGAGAGTGTGGTTGGCTGTTTTGCTGAAAGGGAGAGCTAGGATTAAAGAAGTGTCTTTCCCAAATTTATTTTCTTACTATTAGGCAACCAATTCATAAGGAATGGTTTATGACAAAGATCTCATTCCAAGAAAATGGCTGTACTGAATGCCAGTTGTCATCCAGCCCTTCATTCTACTTGGGGTAGAAAAGTAATGATGAAAGGGTGATGATTATAGTTCTGAAGCAGTTAGGTATTATTTTGGATATGCTATATAGTATTAATGAGAAAGCTGGCTGAATGATAATCTTCGTAATTCCAGAACTGCCCTGGTTACTCATATCACGAGTCTGATCTCTGTCTAGGGTCTTCTCACTGTTTGCAGTTGCTGAAAAGTTTATACCAAACCACTACATGACTCGAGCATGAGCTGTTTCCTTAATGACAACTGTTGTTTGTGCATCTGGGGCACCCAGACTGAAGGCCCCATAATATCTAGAGTATCAGATATGACTGGTTGGGCAGAACAACTCATTCAAATGAATGGGAAATTTAGAGAAGTGTTCCTGAGAGATAAGCTATTTCCTCTGCCCCTAGGGCCAAGAGTCTCAACCTGTTTCTTAGCTCCAAGTAGAACGTAACAGTCAGTGACATAGAACAAGATGCAGCTGCTTCACTGTGTGCTCAGAAAGCCTGCTTTCTGCTTAGAAGAGCATCTTTCATCTGTAGACAGTAGGCTCAGAATGACTCTTACTTGCAACCATAGGAAGACTAAACATCATTCTGTGGTGTAGAATTAGTGGGCGCCTCTTTAGCAACTCAGTGACAACAAATCAGGTTAGGAATCTTGACACAGATTTTGTTCATGCCTTACTTCAGGAAGCCAGTGTATCGGTTATCAGAATGTGGGTGTGTTGGTGTTCTAGTTTGGGTTTGAAGCAATATTCATGAGGATGTGCTTTCATTTATGCCATAAAGACTTCCAACACAAAAGCTGGTGATTACAGAAATAGATCTGTGATCACCCTTGAGTTCACCTCAGGTTTTTAACCAACTTTTATAGTCCCACAGTGTGTTAGCTCATACAGCTTGTGCATTTGATCATTATAATACTGCTTCTATGTTCTTTAGTCCAACTGCCTGAAAAACAAAATAACTAAAGAATGGTTTGGTGTTTAAAACTCATGTGAATTTTGGCTAACATCAGCTTCCTAAAGAGGGATGTCTGTTTTTCTTATCCCTATGGCCTTACCAGGTAGTCAAGATGTGTGATGTGGGAATGTGTAAAAACTTCTTTTTAGGGCCAGTTTCTGACTTAGTCTCCATACTTTCAAGAAGGAGAAAGATAAGCCCATTTATCTAATCTAACAGTTGATTTCTCACTGTCATTTTTGCTATCTGTGTGTTAATGATGCCTCTATTGTATAGTAAGCTTTACCCAAAGCTCCCTGTCTTCTTATGGCTTCATAATTATTGTTTTTACTGTTATGTTGATAAATATCCTCACAAACATTGTGGCAAATCTTTTGATTTTGTAATTTAAGGCATACTAAAAACTCCAGCAAATAAAATCAGAGAGCTCTTGCTGGTACAATTTAGTGGTTATCACTGGCAGCCCAGCCTACCCTTTTGTAGAGGTTTCTGTCACCATACAAAGTTAAACAGAAGGAGTCTTGCCAGTTTCTCAGCAGATCCTACCATAGTGTATCAGTTTCAAGTTAATGCAACAATGATTTAAGATGCCAAGTTTTACCCTACTACCATGTGTAATAGCTGGCATGGCAGACATTTCAAGATGAAAACCTTTTAAACTGCCACTGCAAGTGTTGACAGGCTGCAGTTGCTAGAGTTCTGAGATGGGTACATCGCTTCTCATTGTTAAATGATACAATATTGTCACTGACATCTTAATATTTTAAGGTACTTATATATGCAACTGATTTTCTTCTTACGTAATATAAAATTTTATAATCGACTCTTCTAGAATGACACTGCAGGGCTCAAGCTCCAATCTCTTTTGTTTAAAAGTACTTTTCTTTCTAAGGAATATATTCAGATGGTATTTACAGGTAAATTGTGATTAATCTTATTCGACTACAACTGTAGAAGTATGTGAAGTGCTGTCAGAATTTATGTATTGTTTGAATATTATAATTGCACAGCTATTAAATGTGGACAGAATAACCAAAAAAAATACACATACAGTTTTGTTCTTAATTCTCAAAAAATGTAGATTCATAGAACCAAATGAGCTGAGCAGGACCTTTAGAGGTCAGCTCCTGCTGAAAGTCAAGCTACTGTGTGCATGGGGCTGGGTCCAGTTCAGCTTTGTGTATCTCTAAAGATACCAACTCCACAACGTGCTCCCAGTGCTTGACCACTCTTATGCTAAAAAAAGTGTTTGTTGTTGTTTGGATTTTTTTGTGTGTGTGTTTTGCTTTTTGTTTTTTTTTTTTTAAGATAGAATTTCAGTTTGTCTTTTGCCTCTTGCCCTTCAACACTTGTTCTGAGAAGAGTTTGGACCTGTCTTCTGCACATCCTTCCAGAGGGGGTTTATAGACAGCAGTGTGCCGCCTTTTCCTCGGACTGCATAATCCCAGTTCTCTGAGAGTCTCTTTGTCATCATGTGCTTCAGCTCATGTACATAGGGTATCCAGAGAGTATACTTTCTCTTGAATATTTTTTTCTATTAATGACCTAAAGAAATGAGCCACTCATGAACTCTTTTTCCATGATTAAATGCAAGAAATTCACCTCTGTTACCACTGTGAATGAATATTTCCGACTTATTTGGATGTCCAGCAGTGGAAGAATTAATACCTAAGGTTGAAGTCTTTCTGCTTATTATGGGGAATTTGGAAAGTGTGAGGGTCACTTTAGACTCTAATTATGTGTTATTCACTTGCAAAAGAAAGAAGAAAACTTCTATAATTACAAAGGCTGAAACTATTATAAGTTGGTATGGGTTTTCAGAGTGTTTTTGACAGTTACAAAACAGTTATAGCAAGAGTCTCAAATCCTACTAAAAGGAGACCCATATATGGAAAAAATACAGTTTAAAGGGAGAAGATTCCTTCTGTTCTGTGTGTCTGGATTCCGAAGCATATTTGTCAGCTTGATCTTCAGCTATACTGGGAAGTTGTCTTTTGCGTTCATGCTGGGACAGCTGCCCAGGTGCAAAGTCTTGATATGACCACACAAAGCTACTGTTTTCAGTTTTCAGTACACGTGGTGTTTTTTTATTCCCACTCTAGAAGACAGAGGCTTATGGCAGTTTGCCTTATCTACACCAAGAGTATAAGCCGAAACTGAGCTAGCATTCCTGCCTACCATCTGAGAGTTGCAGATATAATACATGTTCAGTACTGAGAGAGTCTTGATTAGCTTGGCAGGATGACAGGAGCATAGATGCTGTCACATTAGCAAGCCTTAAACATGTCTTTAACGACAAATTCTATATGAAAACTGAAAAGGCACCATCAAAATACTGATCTTTTTCCTGTGATTCTGAATAAAAAATGTTCTGAGGAACTATGCAGTAGAACAGCTACTGATTTCTCAGTTTCCTTGAGGAATTAGTTCCTGATTCCTACTGTCTTTGTCAATTTTTTTTCTTTGTTTTCACCATCCTATACATCCAGTTAGAATAACTTTAAATTACAGTTTCTTTTTATGTCCATTTCTACAATCAGAAAAAGCACCCCAGAAGCTTGATCTTGGAATTTTTTTTAATCTTGAGTTTTACACTGAAAACAAGTGTAATTTATTCTAGAGAGGAAATTTGGGAACCTAACTTCTATTAAAGACAGAAGCATATAGAAGGTCTGTAGCCATCACAGCTTGCTACAAATATGTCATTGCTCAAAATGAGCTTGACTGCAAATTAACTCCTACTTAACCTTACATTTTGTGCAGTAGGCAAGTAGGGAAACAGAAAATCTTGGTACTAATCAAACATAGGGCTTATATTTCATTTTTCTTTCTTTCTTCAATAGAATTCTGGGATTGAGAAAGCATTTTTATTTGATGTAGTAAGTAAGATCTATATTGCAACGGACAGCACTCCAGTGGATATGCAAACTTACGAGCTCTGCTGTGATATGATAGATGTTGTGATTGACATTTCTTGTATATATGGGTAAGTATTTTTTTTTCTTTTTTTTTTTTCATGAAGCTATGTACCTAGAATCTGAATGACCTCAAAATAAGAATTATGTAGATGTAAAAATAATGAGAATGAGTAAGGGAGAAGGAGGAAATTAAGGGCCTCTTAGGTGCAGATCACCTGCTAGCAACAGTGTTCCTTGCCTGGCTTCTCTTGCGAGCACCTTCCTCTATGTGAGTAATTTATTTTTTGTGGGAAGGAGTAGGAAGTAGCCATCCTAAAGAAAAAGGAAATATTAACCATCTTTTTGTTCCCTAGGGCCAAATTCAACAGAAGGATGTCTCTCATTTAAAATAAATAATTAAATGTGAGGTTGTATGTAGTTGTGTTTAATAGCTAATCGCCTCTGCGGGCCTTAAAGAGCTGCTTCACTCTTCCATCAGTTTTTTGCTTGTCCTCTTTTCCCTGCACAAAATTTGTATATTTCAGCTTCCTATCCTTTAGTGATTGGAGAACTCTCACAGAATGGCTTAGGTTGGAGCAGACCTTAAAGATCATCGAGTTCCAACCCACCTGCCATGGGCAGAGTTGTCAGTCACTGGATCAGGCTGCCCAGGATCCCATCCAACCCAGCCTTGAATGCTTCCAGAGATGGGACATCCACAACCTCTCTGGGCAACCTATTCCACCACTTTAGCACCCTCTGAGTAAAAAAATTCTTCCTAGCGCCAAACCCTCTTGCCTTCAACCTTTCTTAATAAGAAGGGTTCTCTGGCCCTCTGGTCATCTTCATGGCCCTCCTCTGGACCCACTGCAGCAGCTCCACATCCTTCCTGTTCTGGGGGATGCAGGCTTGGACTCAGTATAGATGGGGCCTCATGGGGGCAGAGTAGAGAGGGATAATTCCCCTCCCTCACCCTGCTGGCTACGCCTCATTTGATGCAGCCCAGGATACTACTGGCCTTCCAGGCTGCAGTAGCACTCTGCTGGTTCACGTCCAGCTTTTCGTCCATCAAAACCCCCAAGTCCTTCTGCACAGGGCTGCTCTCAATGAGTTTTTCTCCCAGTCTGTATTCCTATCTGGGATTTTCTTGACCCAAGTGCAGCACTTGTATTTGGCTTTGTTAAACCTCATTAGATTCTTATGTGTTCGCTTACTGAGTATGTCCAGGTCCCTCTGGACAGTGTCCCTCCCTTCTGTTGTGTTAGCTGCACTACTCAGCTTGATGCCATCAACTTTCCTTGCAAGTTATGTTGGTGTTTCAAATGGCTTGGCCCAGTGCAATGCTAGCTATTCCTGGGAAAGGCAGGGGTGCATTAAGTATTAGTGCATTAAGGTATATAGAATTGGAGGCTAAACCACAGTATCTGCTTCTGAAAATGTGGTAGTCTTCAGTAGTCTGAAATTCTTACCTGTTTTTATAGATTTTTTTATAGATCTTTGAGAAGGTATGGGGGAAAATCCTGGTGCAGGTGTACAATAACCATTACAACAGCAAAAGAACAACAGATTGTTGAATACTTCTGTAAAATTTATTCAGTTGTATGTTCTGCTGTATCTTTTAGATTTTAGATTTGATCTCTGAACTGTACAAGAACTTGTGTTTTACAGAGTTTTACAATGAAGGATTCTGATTCTGTAGCCTTTTTTGTATGTGTGGAGAGAAAGATACAGTTCTGTGGTTCAAAATTATTATCTGTAGAATACAACAGGGAGGCATTCTAGTCAGTTTCATTCTGCCACTGTCTCTTGTGTAATCATTTAGCATTTGTCATAGAAACCTGCCTGTCAATGTTTTTAGCTGCAAACTAAAAGCATGATATTGGAATTAATTTATTGTCCTCTGTTCCTGGAACATCTGTGAAACCTGTTGCCTTAAAATATTATCAATGCTAATTATTCTGGGAGATTGGTGATAACTACCCATTTAAGAAGATCTCACAAGCACATACCTGGAAATACTTTTAACTCATCTGATGCCTTATCTTGTTTGTTTGTTTGAATATTGCCTTTCAGGCTTAAAGATGATGGCACTGGAACTCCGTATGACAAAGAATCAATGGCAATCATAAAACTGAACAATACAACTGTCCTTTATTTAAAAGAAGTAACAAAATTCCTTGCTCTTGTTTGCTTTGTGAGAGAAGAAAGCTTTGAGAGAAAAGGTATTTACCTCTTTCTAATATTACATTATTTTACCTTGTACAAACAAACTAATGAATAACTCTGATTGCCATTAGCTGATCCATTCTCTAGCTGTATCACAAATATTACAAATACAGCTTGATAGAGCTTACATAATATGGTTAAAGGCGTGAAGTATTGTGCTGACATTAAGATGAAATCAAAAATACATTGGACTGCTTTCTGATAAGAAAGCATACAGTTTACATTCATTGCAATGAAGCTTCCATCTGCAACAGTAGAATGTGTCAATTTATCTTGGCTAGCGTTGCTTTGTACCTATTGGCACTAGCATATGAGTTTGGAACAGCTTGTGTGCCATAACCAAGAGATAAGTATTGAAACTAGCTGATAGAAATATGTTCTCGCTTTTCTTGTCTTTGAAAGTAGGCTTTTAAAAAAACTGCATATTTGGGATTAGGCAGCATTTACATTTTGTAGCTGAAGTACCTAACATTTCTTATCCTGCCCTGATCCTAGTCAAGGTCAACACCGAAAGCTTAGTTAATTACCACATTGCTTAGTTGGTGTGGTGTTCACTGAATTACAGGGCTTCAAATGTCCCAAGACTGGAAAGGAACGGTGGAAAAATGAGCCATCATTTTGGCTTGTGATCCATTTCTTGTGATACTAATTCACCAGTCAGTGTCGTCGTGTTTGTGAATGCAGTACTCAAGCCATCTCTGCTGAACTGTTTGACAGGCTGTTTAGCTTTTATTTTATAGAACTTTACCTGGTCAAATTTCTCTCACGTATCTGTACCACTGTTACTATCTTTGAAAGTTAGCTGCTGCCCATGTTGGTTTTGCTGTAAGCATTAAAAAGTTTTACTGTAACACTAACAGGACTGTTTCAGAAAAGACACCATCTTGAGCAAATACTTGTTATGCTTTGTGTCAAACTGTTGTGTCTGCATAATTTGGGACAGTTTGTACTGAAGTCAATATTCATGAGCAGTATGGTTTGGTATTTTAATGCAGTTTTATTTTAGTGTCTCGAAACTTCAACTGAGTTCTCTGTCTGAATTCAAGGGAGAAGGGAAGCAATTTCTGGAAAAAAAGAAAGTATAACATGTTGGGTATGAACTATTTCAAATTTGCATCGTCTCCTGTTAAGGAAATTGAGATGGAAACCACAACATTGGGAAAGTTTATGGCAATTAACCCTGTCCAAAATTTTAAAACTGTATGGCAGTATTAAACAATTTATAGCACCCAATAAATTTTCTGATTGACTACCAGTATGGCTTTACAGCTTTTCTGTGGGATCACAGTCAGCCCACTCACACGGTAATTTTAACTGCCTAGTATATATGTATGTAATCTAACAACATGACTGTTGTGCTAGTTTTCAGTTAGGGTGTAAAATGAAGTATAAGTGGTTTTTGGTACTGCTATTTGGTAATATAGCTGCAGAGTATCTGTTTCCAAATTTATATATTATAAAAAAAATACTAATTTTTTTTTTACTGCTAGATGATATGTTTTTTTATCATGGTTCTTTTGTGAGGTAAAGTTGCAAAATGACACCGTAATTTGGGAAAGAGTTTAATTTATATTGTAGTATCCTGAGTGTTTCTCCAAAGCTCTTTCTTAAGTTAAAGCTTTCCTATCTGCCAAAGTACTTCTCTTTGTGTTCTCTTAAGACCAATATGTGCAGTTAATACAGGATATAACAAGAAACTGTGATGCTCACTGAATTACTAGTATTTATTAAATTTACTTCTGCTTAGCACAGAAAAAAATTGCCTGGAGAATTCACTGATTATGACCTCGAGCAAGAATGTGGTATTTTAGTAAATGTAGAATAAAATCAAATTTGTGATTACTTCATTTGTGTAAATGTTTTTATTAATATGGAAAACATTTCTGTCTCTGTAGGATTAATAGACTACAATTTCCATTGTTTTCGAAAAGCCATACAAGAAGTATTTGAAGTAAGAATGAAAGTAGTAAGATCTCGAAAACATCAAAGTCATGTGCAAAAAAATAAGAGACCCACTCCTAATGGGACACCAAGAATGCCACTGTAACTGAGGTTTTCTGGCACTGTGGCGAGCTAAGATTTCATGAAGTTGATGTGACTTCTGCATCTCATTGCACTGAGTGAAGAGGAAAACCAATGGGACTGATGTATTACATGAATTTTCCCTGAACGTTCAGAAAGCACTGTTTAAATATTTTTATCCAATCAGTTTTTTTAATATAGTGAGCACTTTGAGCAAAATGTTGTATATATAAGCATTGAGGTGAACACTTGTAAGAAGTTTCTTAATATATGCTGTAAACCTTTTTCATGCCATATTAAGAAAAAACAGCTGTGACAGAAATACTGGGTACATAATTTGCACTTTTTCATGTTTTCCTTGTGGAGTTGGACTTTGATAAACTTAGTTTTTATGGTGATTTTGATGCATGGCGTCAGGTAAAATGTATGCTGTATTTTATTTACCTGCTACAATCAAATTGGCTAGTAAACAATTAAGAAAACTTGGTACGATGCCTTTTAAAATTTGTTACAGCTAATACCTAACATTCATACCGATCTAATTTCATATATTTTTCAATTTGTAACCTGAAAAGTAATTTTGAAGTATTACAGCAATAAGTACCTTACCAGCAATCATAACTGGTAGGTAAACATTCATAACTGGTAGGTAAATATTAGCTTTTATAAAACAGGCTTTTGGCCAAATTTCATCTGGAGTTCTTCATAACACTGGTAATGCCCTCTGGGTCTACTTTTATCATTTACCTCAGCGTATACCACTAAAATACCTTTCTATAAAGACAGTTGTTTTGTAAAATGGCTCTATGTTGCACTGGTATTTTTACAAGGTTTTGGAGGAGGGTGGTTTGTCCAAAAGATTGAATTTATGCTGCTAAATTTGTTTTGATGGCCTGCACAGTTGTGGTTGTTGCGGTGAAGAATCTGTGCATTTCAACCCTGCCATTCAGATGTACTGATGGAAGTCCTAAAGATGCAAGCACATCAGAAGTTTTCTGATTCCTTCTACTTGTGGGTACATCTGCAATTGAAATGAGTACTGGAGAAATCAACCTGTTACAGCAATCAGACTATCTTGCTACTTTTAATATATAGGAATGAGCAGATTTGTCAAAGGATCCACCAGGACATCCGAGTACTATCAGACTTTAAAAATAAGTAAAACTTTCTGAATTCTGTATTTACTGGTTTTGTTTAGTTAATGATACAAAAGTGTCATTCCTAGCTGGAAGAACAACTGCTTTTTTCTTTCTCCCCAATCCCACTGCAAACCAGTTGCGTGCACATTCCGAAGGTGTTGTCAGCAGCTGCTGGGAGTGGGAAGAGCTTGATTTGGAAAGCAGTTTGCAGTATACCAGAACTGGGCAAGGGGAGCTGCACTTCACTCAGTCATAAATTTGTCTATCCCTGCCTGAGATAGCTCTGGGATAGATGGGAGGGGAGATGGAATTTGAAAGTTTTCTTTTGGTTAAGGCAAGGAATAGTACTGAGTGTCTATTACTGAGTTACGAGCTCCCAGTGTTTTCTGGCTTTTGTTTCACAGGTTAAACTCCTTATTTTTCAACAAGTCTAAATTCAGTGGTGGTTTGAATGTAAATGCAAAGTTTCTGTATGCTGTACACATCTTGAGGTTCTATTGCACTGAATACATAAGCTGGGAGAGCCACTTGGCATTGAATGCAAAGGTTCTCCTCACAAGCATCTGCCAAAAGAGAAATCAGTACTTTCCAAGTCCCTTACTGCTGCTTAACACGCATGACTTATTTATCTTTCTGGAACAAATTGGCCATTTTGGCATGAATGTACTGAATACATGGGGAGTTCTTAGAAATAGGTGTAGGCTACTGGATGGATCTAGGCTCCAAGTCTCACTAGATCAGGAATGTAATTCTAGGAAGGTGAAAAATGTTGAGAATAAGTGTTGATCCTGGCAGCAGGGTGAAGGATAATCACGGTAGCTGTAACGAAAGCAGAGTGCTTCAGAAAGTGAAAGAGTTCAGTTTTGGTTCAGTTACCACCTGTTGTGTTAAGTGAGGGTGGCTTGGTCTGAGGCAAAGCTCTCTTCAGAGTTCACCACAGAAACGGTGGGTAAGAGCTACCCTTCCATAGCCTTCCAAACTGGACTTTTATTGAAGGGCAGCCATAATTTTTGACCATTTAGTTGAGATCCACCATTGTGACTCAGCCTCAGTCTTTTTTCGCTTCATTCTTGTCAGGTATATGTGATTTTGTGAGATGAACAACACATGCCAGCATGTATTCATTGTTAGACAACGCATTAAGAAAAGCATCTGATCACACTGGCTGTGGTATGAATACTAACTACTAAAGAATGTTGTTCCTTTATATTTGGCCTAAGATCTGTGTAGTCATGCGTACCCTTTTTCTTAGAGAGACTATCAAGTTAATTAAGCTATTCATTTACCATGAAGTTCCCTCCTGAATTTGACATCAACTGTAATGCATAATGTAGTGAAGGTGACTTTGGCTAATAAAAATAATCAAATTGGATATTATCAGAGAGAGCATAATTTTCATCAGTTTTATTACGCTTCAAATATATTTAACATTCAAGGTTAAAATGCATTCATTAGACTCTTTAAATTTGATGTTTCTCAGTTTAGGCAATGACTTGCACGTAGCATTTTTGGGTAATCGCCTTCTATTCAGTATCCCAGGTTTTCACATACTAGCTGAAGTGATTAAGCACTGAGGCATGCATGGGCTTGTTTTATTTGAAGAACAATTTTTTTCCAATCTCTTGCATTTTCTTTTTAAATTTCGTTGAGACTCTAGTTTTCATCTGAAAGGGAGGAAATACCCCATATGCTACAAGAACTAATTCTGACAAAGCAGTGTAGAGAGATATAGAAAATACAACACCAAAGAACACTTAGAATTGATGCAATAAGTCCTGAGTAGTACGATACCTCCAAAATACGTAGTCTGTTTACCATTTTTATGTATCATCACAGTTGTCTGAACATGGGAGGGGCTGTTGCAGATCTAGCAATCTTGAAAACAGTTTTAGAATAAACCCAAACCAATTCAGTATCCCACTGAACTTTTGAAGTTAGGAGCTGAATGTCTTTAAAATATCAATTCCAAAAACTTACAGTTGAGGTCCACACAGAAGAGTCAAAATACATCCCTGAACACACACTGGAAACTGGTTATTTAAAATTACACAACCACAGAATGGCTTGGGTTGGAAGAGACCTCAAAGATCATCTGGTTCCACTCCCCTACCATGGGTAGAGTTGCCAACTGCTAGATTAAGCACTAAATCATGTTTCCTCTGAGCCCCATCCAACCTGGACTCGAACACCTCCAGGGATGGGGCATCCACAACCTCTCTGGACAACCTGTGCCAGCACCTCACCTCTCTGTGGAAAAACTTTCCCCCGCCATCTAATCAAAATCTCCTCTCCTTTAGTTTAAGACCATTCCCCCTTGTCCTACCACCCATGTAAAAAGTTGATTCCACCTGTATTTATGATCGCCCCTTAAATACTGGAAGGCCACAATGAAGTCTCCCTGGAGCCCCGTCCAGACTGAATAAGCTGAGCTCCCTCAGCCTGACTGTGTAGAAGAGGTGTTCCAGTCCTCTGATTATCATCGTGGCCCTTAAAATTATGCGATATTGGAGTGTCTTAAAAATATATGGCTACAAGTGTACTGCGCGTTAGCATGGAGATGAAAGCAACAGAATACTTGGGTCAAGCACAATTCAAATGCATCATTTGAGACCTCGTTTTCTGTGATGGAACATTTTTTTCTCATTAAAAATAGTTTGTTTTCTTGCATGTAAAACTGCAGTACTGTGATGAAGTCTTAATTCATGTTATCAAAGCACTGCAGTGATTTCTTTCAAGGAATTTTTTGAGTAGTATAATATTTCCAAAATCACTGACCTATAAACCTTCTCCAATTTTACACATCATCAGTTGAAGCTGAAGAATTAAAGCAAATAAGCCTAGAGGTAATGACACACAGCAGTGTTTGCTTAAATGACATATATTGCTCCTTGCAGTAATCATTGAGAATTTGTCTTAAATTGAATGTTAGAGTTTTTCTATTTTCCTCTTGAATGATATGCATAACATTCAAAATGATTTTGATGCTGCAGGTTTATCTGTGTCCTGTTCTATGGAGAGCAAGGTTGTTGACACCAAAATTTTCCTATTTTGATTCTAAGTATTTGTTGACAGCTACATATGAATTTACCTAATTACAGACAAACACATGGACTTTCCCCATTTCAGCTGTGTGAGAAATGAAAAATAACCCAGCTTTAGCTGTGAAATGCTTTTTTTAAATACTTTTGTTTCTGGGTGTTTGGGTTTTGTTCTGTTGGTTTTTTTTTTTTTTTGTTTTTTGTTTTGGAAGACTCTTAATGGATTGTTTCTTTTCATTTGTTCTGTCCCTGATATTTTCTGCAGTATTTTTCTGATTGTGCTTTCTCTGTTAATGATTCATCATAGAAAGGTCAGGCAGCCAGTCCTTGTCTGCCTATTCTCTTTGGCTTCTAGGCATTAAGATCTATACATTATGTCTTGAGCAAAAAACTGCTGAAAAAACATTGAATAAAAGAAGAAATCTAAGTTGTATATCATCCATTAAGTAACATCCTTAAAATATGTTTATGTAATCTTGAAATATTTGCACACCATACAAGCATATCTTCATATTTAAGTTATAGTTGATGCTGGCAGTCACATTTTAAGCATATCTCGGTTGGCTCCAGAACATATTTTAAAAGAAAACTTTTGTGTAGATAAAGGTGTCTGGAAAAAAAAATGTTGTTACGCAACAGTGTGTTACACTTTCTCTTGGACAAAACTAACGTATCTTTGATAAGGAAAGGAAATACTCTATTAAATATATTTCTTAATAACATTGATAAGGGCTGCTACCACAGTATCACCTGTTTCAGAATTGCTGAATACCATAAGAAAAAAAAATCCTTTTTTTTTTCTTTCCACCCCCTTGCCCAATTAAATATGCACTAGCCTAAATTGAGAAGGTTTGGGATTACTGTCAAAAAACTTTGTAGATGGTGCAAACACGATAGACAGAAGAATAAAAGAATAGCCTGGCCTAGCTGTAGTGTACAGTCCAGAGCACTTTATAGCATATTCCAAATGTGTTTCTCACAAAATGCTGGCCAGGAAATGACACAGGCTTATCATGACAGGATGTACCTTAAGCTACACAAAGGTGGATGAGCACCATATGGTCCACATAGCAGTGCTACAGAACTACATTACAGGGCAGTATCAGAGCTGCCTTACTTATGGCAGTATTTACCTTTTGTTTTCAGTGAGAGAGTTTTACTGTCCACTCAGTGCAGTCCAAAATGCATTCTGGCTTCTGCTGACCTAAAAGGTAGTGTTGATTCAAACATAAATCAGAGATGAACACACTGCAATTGGGAATCTATTTCCAAATCAAGAGGGCTTTGATGTTCTGAAGCCTCTACTCAACACAGGCAGACAAGCAGCCTAGCTACTTCTAAGAGGAACTCAGCCTGTCAATGAAAGGGTTATAAATTGTGGGGATTGCATCAATTCCCTGAGAATGCAAACATCAGAGAGTGCTGCAGTCCCAACTTACTTCCTTGTTAAAATCCTTCACTAGCACTCTTAGGGTTTCTAGAAGCCCCACTATCAGCTTTGCACTGGTATCCCTTAGGAGTCCAGGAACCTGTGATACAATTCCTACTTGTTCTGGAGTTGAATTGGTTGTTACTTTGATTTTCCCAATTCATGGTGCTCATGCCTATTTGCATCAGTTCTGGGGCTATTTTGATAATTACCAGAGCCATCTGAATGCAGGAAACATCATCTGTTCCAACTCCTTTTGTAAAACAACATATGCAGAGTACAGGAATGGGCTTTCAGTGTAAAGTTTCCAATAAGAACAAATCAGAAGGATGTCACCCTGTCCTATCAGCCAACATCTTCATCTCTTAATCCTGCACAGAGGGATTCAACCATACTCTGCTTTTCTGCAGCGCTTTTTTCACTGATCAGATTGTCCTCTGGTGAGCCAAATGGTCTGATCCACAAATTCCTTCTTTTTTAATACTCCCTTCTCAGCTTCTTGAACTACTTTCAGTTGCCAGTGTGACATTCATCCCTGGTCTCACATTGTAACTGCTGACAGCAAACTCTGCGGCAGGGGAATGCCAGCAGTTCAACCTCCCCAGTCCTGTTCCTTCAATAATTTTGTCTCATGTTTCAATTCCACATTTTTCTATCAGTAGAGCAGCAGGCAACATTCCAAGTTCTGCAATTCTTCATAAAGTCCATAATACAGAAGCTTCAGTGTTGGCTTTGAATTTAGTGTTCTTTCAACAGCTGATAAATGGCTGTCCTGCTTTTCCCACTGCAATCCTCCCCCAACACCCCCACGAACACTTCCTATTGCCATGCACTGAGTGTGTCTTTAAGGTGCTTTTTGGCACTGCATGTGGCCTTCAGCTACTGCCTCTTTCAGAACAGCATGAGTATCCTGTAAGTCTCCCATAGCCTCCATTTCTGCTCCATATGGATGCCATGCATACCTTAGGATACCTTCTGTGACATCAGGTGCATATGTGTATTTCTACTAACCACCTGAGAGACTCCTGGGTGTCCCATACAGTTACACGAGGCTGCAAAGATGGCTGATAACTAAATACATCTTAGTTAATGACACTGTAAGCTTTAATCATCCTTACAATGATTGTAAAACACCTTTTGAGGGGTATAAAATAAGAACCTGCTCTTAAATCTTTTATTGGCTCTGCTGAGTCAGCAGTAGCTGTGTACAAGCAGCTGTACAAGCAGGTGCAGACAAGAAGTTCATGTTAGGATGAATGTTTCTGGAGTGGATGGGATATGAAGTCTGCTTGGTGGCAATCCAACAGGCATAATCCTGACTACTCTGTAATCATAAAGACAGGTGTTGCATTCCCACAAGGAAGCTTATGGGAGTAAGTTAAAACAAAAGGGCATCTGGAGCAATTCACATAATGAAAAAATGTAAAAAAAAAAAAAAAAAAGAAAAGTAACTCCCCGAAGAGGGAGGAGTGTGAAAAACTGGTTGTGTGGTAGGTGAAGGGATATGCCTGGCATTTTATCCCTAAATAGTGGCATAGGAGCAAAATAATTTTAGATTGGAGCAATTCATAACTACTCTCCAACTATCCAGCTCTCTGCAGCTTTCAGGGTAAAGAAGATGCACCAGAGAAAATGTATTCCATTACTGTTGTCTGAAAAGCAGATTTGTTGCCCTGTTAGCAATAAGTCAATCGTCACACACTCAGGAGAGATACTGCTTATTTATTTCAGGATTGCACAAGCCAGGGTGCTCAGTGATTTCCCACAGGTCAAGCACACACACAAAACTGTCTGCTTGGTATTTATACACAAAAGTTACACAGTTAGTAACTTTCCAGTCTGTTCCCATGATGATGGGTTAGTAATTTTCATACAATTACAAGGATTCGTGGATCTTGTGTTTTCTTGCCAGGCTGGCAATGTCCTCCAGGTATCCAGATTAATTTTCCCTTCATGGACTACTGGCCCTGGGAAGTCCCTGGTTACGGAAATTAAGGATTTACTCTTCTTATACCTGATACAGTGGTAGCTCAGTTTGTTTAGAATTAGCCTTCAACATTATATGTAGTTTGAAAGATATAGTATGTAGATCAGTGAAGTCAGGAATTGTGAACAGCTGTCACTCAGCAGCTTTGGCTTCAACATACGCCTTCTCAGATTTATTCTGAACCAGGAAACCATGTGAACTATTAGAATGAGGAGTGAGCCACGTGACTGGCATGATTCTTCTCATTATTTGGGGAAACAAAAAGGTGAAGTCAGTATGTCTTTATTCTGATGTCTTATAATGCAGGCTACTGCAACAAACTCAGCACCGATGATCCCAATCAAGCATTTGCTTGCATGAGTGGTTAAAGTGATCTGGTAGATGATTACTTTCTTCTCTTTGTTCCATTTCTGAAATAATGCTAATTAAAAATCAGTTGGCAAAGCCACAAGTTTAATGAAGTAGTTGTTTTAGAACTAAATCTGATGAAAAGACGGTAGTTGCTTTCCTTAGAAGTTCAGTGCATTGGGGCAATTATTACAGGGCATTCCGTTACACAGTGCTATGCTTGTTCTGTCAGTGAGGAGGAGGTGCACTTGTATCCAGATTTAACAGGTCTGAATTCACATAAAAGATTTTAAAAACTAGGACTGTATTAGTCATCAATGAACACAATAATGATTTCTCCCCCAGGTGAGTCATACTGGTTCTCACTGATAACACAGACATATTAATATTGTATTCTTTAATACCATTGGAGTTTAATTCTGCAGCCAACTGTCTGTACTGAAGGAGTAGCACTGTAAATGAAGCAAACTGGTATACATTTTGAGAACTTGAAAATCTGGAGTATGAATGATTTGTACGAAGAACTATTGTATTTTCCTCTAAGGTCTTAAACTTTCTTTAAAAGAAACAATTTGTAGCTGAACTTAAGAGACAGCATACAAAGCAGAAAGGGATCTGGGGGTGCTGGTTGATGGCAAGTTGAATGTGAGTCAGCAGTGTACTCTGGTAGCCACGAGGGTTAACTGTACCCTGGGGACATCAGGCCCAGCACTGCCACTGGCTGAGGGAAGGGACTGACCCCCTGCCCTGCGCTGTGCAGCCTCACCTTCAGCAATGGGTGTGGGTTGGGAATCACAATATAAAGACATAAAACTATCAGAGAGTGCCCAAAGAAGGCCTTTGAAGACGGTGAAGAGTTAGGAAGGGAAGGCATGTGAAGAGTAGCTGGATTTGTTCAGCCCTGAGATGAGGCTGAGTGGAAGCCTCATGGCCACTGCAGCTCCTCACAGGGAGAGGAGGGACAGCGGGACAGCGCTGAGCTCTGCTCTCTGTGACAGCCCCAGGGCACAGCATGGAGCTGTGTCAGGGGAGGGCAGCTGGGGGCTAGGGAAAGGGGCTGCACCAGCGCGTGGTCAGGCCCCAAGCTACCGGAGTTCAAGGAGTGTTTGGACAGCACACTCAAACATAAGGTTTGAATTCTGGGTGGTCTTGTGTGGAGCCAGGGGTTGGGTTCAGTGATTCTTGCAGGTCTCAGGATATTCTGTGATTCTATACAAAAAACACTCTGAACTGCCACATTATCTAACTTAATTCCAAGATCTAGTAGAACATATTGTAATGCATCAAATCTAGGGGCAAAAGCTGAATTAGTCTCCAACGATTATTTTTATTTTTTACCTGCATCAGGAATAACAAGCTTAATAATAATAATAAAAAAAACATAGGCAGGGCAGTCTATATCTGACATCTGTTTCAGGCCAGATAAACTGTGCTACAGAAATTCCTGGTTCTCTCCACCAGCTATAGAGTGAACCTCTGGAACTGCAGAAATATTTATCCGTGGTCTGCAATTGTCCAGGGGAATTCTGCCCACATGGCCACTCACTCTTTCACAGTAGGCATGGCTGCAATTCAAGGATTATGCATGTTATCAGACCTTATGACTGTCATTAATTTTGCAATTTTTTTTTTTGCAATAGAAAGTCCTATTAGCTCCTTTGCTCTGAAGCATGGTGCCCATATCACAGTTGCTGTTTTCATCCAGAAGAAAAAAAAAATAAAAAAAATCAGTAGACCATGGCTGCAGGAAAATATTTTGAAACGTGAGCAAAATCACCTTCTCAGAAACCAGACATTAAAAAATATATATCTTAGATTATTTTTTTTAAGGTCAAACTGAAGGCACGCTTCACTGTAAGTGTCGAAAGTGATTATTATCGCTGCTTTGCAACCAGTTTGGTGAAGTTGTACAAAATCTGCAGGATTTAATATTGCATTTAGCACATTATTAAATAAGGAAATCTGTGTTGTAGCTGTGTTCTGGCAAAATTTCAGTTTCTATATGCTTCAGCTGAGCATGTTTCATTTTCCACCAGGGTGGTAGATCATATGACAGGATACACAGCCAGAATGAAGTGCTGTTAATGTCTGGGATTTGACTGCAGTTTTGCCATTATATTTGGCATTTAAAAAAAAAAAAAAAAAAAAAAAAAAAAAAAAAAAAAGTTCTAGAACAAAATGGCCCCTCTGTGCAAAAAGTCTAAACAAAAGGGAGAATGAAAACACAAATAGGGCATTTGCAGTCACATGAAGGAAGGGGAGGCAAGCTGACTATTTTGGCAGCACTGACTATGCCCAGGCTGTGCAATGCTTGCTCCTATCTGTCACGTGCAGCTGGTGACAAGCAGCACTGTGAAAATAAGCCCCAGATTTCTGTCCATGCACACATTACAACACTGTCTCACAGGCATCAGTGGTTTCACAACTGAATCACCTGGCAGCGTTCATCGTCTGTAGCCTCAACTGTCAGTCAGGCAATGAGTCTGAAAGTAAAAGCAGTCTCTTACTGCTAGTTCTGCACAACTTCTTGTGGTTATCCAGCACCAGTACAGGCCACGAAGTAGCTTAATTAAATGGAGAAAACGTCCCTTCAGAGAATTTCTGTTACTCAACATTTATATCTATTCAGTTTATTTTCAGTAGTGTTTAGCTGCTATGTAGCTAATGTATATGTTTTTTTTTAGCTAAAAACCCCAGTTTCATGTTAGTTACAGGTGCTTCCTCCTTGAGTTGTATAAAACTACACTGTAAGTGCTGCCAGGTTCAAAACCAGAGCTCAGAAGAGAATGCTGAACTCTGTACTGCTCTTCATCATAAGTATCACTCTTCTCAATTCATGCCATTATTCCAATGATCATATATTATTTGAGATACCTTCTATCAAAGTAGATCCCAGATTTTTTGTTTGTTTGTTTGTTTACATAGAATTTCACATTTCTGACTGCAAAATACTACCATGCTGCTTCAGGGCAGGGCAAGATTTAGTCAGATCTCAAAGCCCTTCTCCCACTGCATGGCAAGGTGGCTTGGGCAAGTGAGGAAAGCTGGGATATAGCTGCTAAGAATGTCTGTAATGGCTTGTGAATGTGGCACTCAGAATTAAAGAACTAGAAATAAGAGTGCCGAGCTTGTGTTGTTGAAGACAAGCACGTAAAAGCTCAATTTTCTTGCGTCTTCCAGTGAATTAACGGAAGACTGAAAATGCTGAGAACTTGACCACTTCAACTTGGTACTCATTTCCTTAGTTTTAAATTGATGAAAGTGCTATCCCAAATGTATTGCGGCTGTTACCAGGCAGCAGAAAAGCCAATATTGTAAATGCAACCAAAAATTCCTTCAGCATTGTGACATGGAAAAAGGGATCTGATCTGTTTATCAAGTCAAGCTTCTGCTGGTAATTCATGCCTAAACCAATGGTCATGGGCGTATGGCCCTATCTCAGTCTTGTGTGATCTTGAAAAGAAACAAGCATGATGCTACTACATCCTACAGCTCTGTTAACTGTTTTGGATGAGTTGTTTGTTTGGCAGCAGGGTGGAAAGCCAATGGTTTTCAAAGCACCCTGCTCTGGCTGTGAGGTCCCCAAGTTCCTTGTGCCATGACTGGCAGCTTGAGATGGAGAGGCATAATGGAGACACGCAAGGCCATGACCCAGTGGTTGGACTCCTTGCCTTGGCACAGTCCATTTCCACACCTCTCCTCTTTCTAGGCATGTGCTGTTCCGGAACACCTCCAACATTTTGCAGGAAAGAAGAGGGAACGCTGCAAAGAAGGAATAGAGTGCAGTCCAGCCCCAGGCCTGGTAGCTTCAGCATAGCATCACTGCCATCCACGTACACTGGGAATGGTGGTCCTGCCCCGGCCCCCCGCGTTCCACCAGCCAGGACTGAAGTGAGCCCGTTCCGCTCAGCCCAGGAGTAACACGGACGGCACTCCGTTCCGAAGGCAGCCAAGCCCGTGGCTGTGTGAGCGGGTCCCCACGCGCTCAGCCCGAGGCTGTCATCGACCTTTTCCTTCTTTCCCAACGGAATCACGCCCGCGGGCCGCTGCCACAGCGCCGCTGGGCGCGGGCCGCCCGCAGCCAACACCAGTGCAGCTCGGCCCTGCTAGCGGGGCGGCTCCGGGGGCGGCGCCGGTACGGCAGGTGCCTCCCTCCGCCACGTCAGGGGAGTTTCCCGAGGCGAGGCGGGTCGAGCCGCGTCTTCTTCCTCCTCGGTTTCCCCCGGCTGCCACCACCGGAGACGCCGCGGAGGGAGAGTAGTGCCGGCTGCCATGGAGGCCCGCTACAACCTCAAGAGCCCGGGTAGGCCGCAGCAAGCCGCTCTTCGGGCCGCGGCTGGGCGGGAGGGAGCGGGCCGGGCTGGGGGGGCCGAGCGCTCGCCCAACAAAGGGCAGAACTGCGGCCCGGCCTCAGCGCCACTGGGGCGGCGAGGGCCGGCAAGGGGGGCGAGCGGCAGTGCGAGCCGGGCGGGTCCGGGCCGTGCTGCTGATGCCGGCTGCGCAAGGCGGGTCGGCCCGCGGTGCTTGGAGACGCTGGAGCTCTCGTTGAGGGGAGCAGAGTATCTCGGGGCGCTGCCGTGTCTGTATGTGTCCACGCCTTTTTATTCTTTTTCGTGGTTGGTGGACGCGTAGGTTGGAACTGCTGCCTGCTGGTGTGCGAACGTGGCTGTGCCCGTGCTGTCAGGTGTTTGCTGGCTCCTCGGGCCTGCGGGTGGGGAGGGACGGGCGGTGATGTTGGCTAAGTCTGTGCAGTGAGGCTTTTTCATAAGCTGTTGTGTGCTGTTTTTATGTGCCACACCTACACGTGCGTGTATATGTGTGTTCAAGGGCTTCTGCAATAAAATTCTTGTGTTGCCAGCACCAGGCAGCATTTTGAGTCCTTAAACGAGGGTTTTCCTCAGGTGAGTCAAGGCCAGGCTGGATGTGGCTCTGGGCAGCCTGGTCTAGTGATTGGTGACCCTGCACATAGATGATCATTGTAGTCCTTTTCAATCCAGGCCATTCTATGATTCTGTGATGTCCTGAGAAACAGCACAGGAAGGGCAGAGAGGGATTCCCTTCCCAGCAAGGGCCCTGAGTCCAGGTGGGCTCCCTCCTGGGGCAGCGACCTGTCTGTGGCTGTGTGCCTCTGTGGCTTCTCCAGCAGAGCTTCTGGGACTGTGAGGGCTGGCTGCATTTCTGGGTCAATCATTGTCCTGCCCCTGTTGCTCCAGCCCAACTTTAGGCAGCAGGTGTTATCAACTTCATGTTACTGTGACTATACTGTCCTATTACCAGCATGGGGGGCGGGGAGAAACTTAGCATCGAGATGACTTGTGCTTTGCAAATGCAAATGACAGGCTTGTTCACAGAACATGCCTGTGTCTATTGCTAAATTATGTTTTCTTTTCTGTCTTTGTTCTTCAAGCCCAACTTGCCTAACTGAGTAATGAGGAGCACAAAGCAAGTCATATGCTCGTTATATTTTAAAATACCAGGAAGGTAGATTTATTTCTTTTATTTCCTTTTTTTTTAAAAAAAAAAAAAAAGTCTGGTATGCTGCACATGTGTACTTCAAGGGCAGGCAAACATATTCACCAGTTCAGGTTTGCCACGTCACTGGAAGTAGTGGTGATGGTGTAACTTTGGGATCACCGGCAAATATTTGTGAAGCATTTTTCCACTCTCTTGTTTTCAAGTGAAAATTCTCTTTACTGACTTGATTTTCACCGCCTGTGCTGTTCTATTGCAAAACAAACCTCTTTCAGGAAAAATAAATGACTCATACAGTAGGTCGATATTGCTTCCCCAGATCAAACATCCTTTGTAGCATATGGCTGGTGAAAGCCTGTTAAAGATTTGCTTTAAATCACTTGTTTCAGAAGCCAATAATGCAGTAAATCTTCCTGTAAAAATATGAGCAGAAGATATTAAATACCAAAAAGAAATTCCAAGTAAATACTGTTTCTTCAACTGTTTTTACCCATTAACGTGAGTTAATTATTTTTACACAAAGCACTTAGTCTGGCACGTCTTTCTGCTGAGCAAGTAGATGGGCACATTCAATTATTTAATATTCCTATGTTTTACAAATTTCTTTTGTTGTGTTTAAATGTACAGTGTAAACGGTGTAGTGTTTTTTTACAATTGCCATTCAACTGAAGATGGAAGTGTACAATGCTCTAATTTTAAGATGGCTGTAATTAATGTAAGTGTACTGAAATACTTGATAACGAATCCACCATGTTTCCCATTTCCAGTAATGAGAAACGTGAGTCGGTACTGGGGCCTGTCCTTTTCAGTGTCTTTATTGATAACTTGGATGAGGACGTTGAGTGCACCCTCAGTAAGTTTGCAGATGATGACAAGCTGGCAGAGAGTGTTAATCTGCTTGGGTGAAGGAAGGCCCTACAGAGGGCCTATCTGGACAGGCTGGATAGCTGGGCTGAAGTCTGTAGGATGAGGTTCAACAAGACCAAGATCTGGATCCTGCACTTTGCCCTCAAGAACCCTAGGCAGTGCTACAGGCTTGAGGCAGAGTGGCTGGAAGACTTTGTAGAGAAAACAGACCTGGTAGTATTGGTTGGCGCTTAACTGAACACGAGCCAGCAGTGTGCCCAGGTGGCCAAGAAGGCCAATGGCATCCTGGCTTGTATCAGAAGTAGTTTGCCAGCAGGAGCAGGGAAGTGATCATCTCTCTGCACTCAGCTCTGGTGAGGCCGCACCTCATGTACTGTGTCCAGTTTTTGGCCCTTCCCAACAAAGACTTTGGGGCCCTGAAGTGTGTTTGGAGAAGGGCAACAAAGCTGTGAGGGCTCTGGAGCACAAGGCTTACAGGAGTGGCTGAGGGAACTGGGGCTGTTTCCTCTGAAGGAGGCTCAGGGGAGACCTTATTGCTCACTAAAACTACCTAAAGGGAGGTTGTGACAAAGTGGGTGTCAGCCTCTTCTCCTATGTACCTAGTGACGGCACGAGAGGGAATGGCCTCAAGTTGCACCAGGGAAGATTCACGATGAATATTAGGGAAATTTTCTTCTCTGAAAGAGCAATCAAGTGCTGCACAGGGAAGTGATGGAGTCACCATCTCTGGAGGTATTCAAGGAACATTTAGATGTGTGCCTGGGGACATGGTTTAGTGGTAAATGTTGGTGACAGGTGGAAGGCTGGACTGGATATCTTGGAAGTCTTTTCCAACTTTGGTGATTCTATGATTCTGTGATTCTTATAACTGTTTTGTACCAGCACGAGAGGCTTTGCCTGTTGAAAACTGCTTCTGCATGAGCAAACTCTGGTTCCAGCTGCTGACTTCTGTCTGCTCAATAGTTGTAAAGAGGGCAAGTGCTACTTACAAAGATTAGGAAAAGTTTATTTAAAAGTGATAGCAGACTTCTTAAAAAAATTGTTTGCAATTAGAGAAGAACATGTTTTAAATAAGAAAATTTGATTGAAAGAAACTTGTTCTTTTGTTGCTCTTAAGCCAAATTCTGGTGTAAAGCCGTGATATGAGCTGAAGTTCTTCAGTGATGCTACATGGGCACTATTTCTGTGAGTAGGTGCATTACACTGGACTTGTGATGAGGATCAGCTGCTCTTTCTGGTGCCTTTTTTTTTTTTTTTTTTTTTTTTTTATGCTTTCATATAGCTCAAACTAAGAGTACTGTTTCTGCACACCTTTGTCCCGATGTCGAGCAGGGCAATGCCACAGGTGCTTCAGCAACTCCCATTCAGCCAGAGTGGTGCGTGGAAGTGCTGTCTGGGCTTGGCTGATGAGTGAAGCTGCTGCTGGCCCTTGTCACCTGTCCTCTCTAGGGGTGAGGAGATGTGGAGCAGCCACCTGAAGCTGCCCCTCACATAATCAATGAATGTGATTATTATTATTTTTTTAATTCTTCCCCAAAGGATCATTAATGTATGAAAGAAAAAAATTTACCACTCTGTGTTTCACGCTTCTTTGTATTGCCTCAGTAAGGCAAAGCCTATTAAGCTTTTGCTTCATATTTTTATTTCTGTTCTTGGCACTTCTAAAAGGACAAGCTGCTTTCTGTCTTGAAATTTCAAAATGGATTAGGCAGTGTATGTCAGCCTGCTACCATATGGCTGATAAACTGCTCCTGTTAGTAGTAAAGCTCAGCGCACTGAAACACAGACCTCATCCTCTTGGTGTTAGAGAACATCTCTGTTTCTGAAATTTGACAGCTACTTGCAATAAGCACTTTAGCTTTATTTTTTAATCTTTATTTTTGCTTTTTCCCTTAATGTTGTGACCCTCAGCCTGCTGCAAGGTCAGATGTCAAACCTTGCAGCCGCTCTCCTGCATTGACAGGATTCCTTGGCCTCTTATTTCTCATGGGACGTCACCAGTCTTAGGAGCAGGTATTAGCACAGACACATACACAGAACTGTGACCACCTGCTTAGTGGCTCATGTGGAACCTGCAAACAACAGTGGTGGTTTTATTAGAGTTGTTTCCTTTTAGCAGGGCTTCTTATGTAGAGATGTACTGATGTGGGCCTGAGGGGCTGTGGACAGCAATGGAGTGAGGCATGGAGTACATGTCCTGCATTTGCTGTTGTTGTTGCCTCTGGATCCTGATGCATGGGGAGCATAATATGCCTAGGTGGTGATCCTCTTAGCTGTCGTCTTTAATTCATTTACTGCAGGGTGAAGAAATGCTTTCCTACAATCTATACTTTTCTCTCCGCTCTGTACTTCTATGCAAGTAAGGAAGCATTTCATGCCGCCAAGTGTATGTTAGTTCTCTGTTACTAAAAAACAGTCAATAGAAAGTAAAGGAAACAGGTTGAATGGATATTAAAAACTTGAGGCAGGCTGAAGATGTTGTTTGGTCTTAATGTATCCAACAAGCACCTTACCCTTGATAAGCTTTATCCTACTTTGTGTTGACTGAACAGTTGCTTTGAAATGTAGCTCCCTGTTCTGAGGGAAACAGAGTGAAGGTGTGTTGCTCCCGAGGGTGAGAAGAGAGTAGGCTCAATAAAAGCCTTCCTGTTTTTTGTTTGTTTTTTCCCCTCTCAGTTCTCAATACTCTGTATGAGTGCAGGAGTCATGTGGGTAGTGGGAGAGGATGGCAGTGAGGCCCCAAAGATGGAAAGCAACTGTCAAATTGAATTTTAAAATGAAAGCAATTTTGGAACCTGTGGCTGCCCCAGATATTATAATTCTGCAATTGTGTGTTTCAGTTCTGTAAGATTTTTTGTTGTTATCTCAAAAGATGCCCATCAGTGGCTTAAAGACTGGGGTGATAGGAACCTTCATCTGTCTTCTCGACGTATGATTTTTGGGTGGATATGACTGGGATGTGAACTTTTCTTGCAAAAAAAGAAAAGTATCTCAGTCCTCTTAAGGAAGTTGTAAATGTGGTCTCAGTTCAGAATTGAGTGACTGTGAACAGCTGTGTAAATTTTATAAAAATATGGTCAATTTTTTTTTAAAGATGTACAAAAATATAAAGGAATTTTTAAAAAAATCTGGTTGAAGGCATATTTTAATTTAGTGATAAGAAAAGTGAGGCTAAAAATGAATAGACAGGAAGAATGCAGAAGTGGAGCACAAAAGCTTTAGCCATGTGCTGCTTAGCTGTAAGTTTGGCAATAGTCTTATTGCTAGAGTAGTTACCACCAGGTACCTGGTTGTAGAGCAGAAGATGCTGTTCTGCAGGTTACTTTCCTGACCCCTCTCCACCCTGTTTATTGTTTTAATTACTGTGATTGCATGCAATTGACAGATTTTAAGCTGTCCAGGAAAATCACATCTGCAGTGGATCAACCCACAGATACCTGGTGCCATTGCAGGTCACACACAGTTATATGTTAGGCTCCCCGTGCGTAGTTCTTATAAACCAGTCTCTAGGAGTATAACACAACTTGAAAAAGTACAGTTCTCCGTGTAATAGAGCTGTAGTTGAAAGTATTTGATAACTCAACTTGAGAGATGAGGCTGCACTGCTGTGGGCTTTGCATCATGAGCTGCCTCACTGATGCCCTTGTCGTGGAGCTCTGCGCTGCTACTTGGTGTGGATGTTAAGGCAGGCCTTTAGGAAGCTGGTAGCGATGTATGAGGCTTTTGTTTTCTGAGTGTTAGTCTGGGCTTCCCCTGAGCGAAAGTGTCACCTTCCTTATGCTGCAGTCAGTCTCTTTGTTATGGGTTATTTGCATTAATACAACGCTCTTATCTTATCAGCTCGTTGGATTGCAATGCAAAGTGTTCATTGGTTATGCAAAAATGAACTGAAATCCCTTGTTAAATACAGAAGACTGGTATTAAAACAAGGCTCTGTCTGGCTACATACAATTGCTTTATTTTCAGGCTATCTTTATATTCATGATAGACCTTATTTTTAGAAACCTGTTAATATTTTACTAAGACAAATACCACAGGTGTTCAAATTCCATCACAAGCAATAATATTTACATTTAGGAAGTTGATCATTTCCATTTTCTTTGTACAGTGTTTTCCTGAGCTCCTAGGTGCAGAGTTTTCTAAATTGAGCACAGTAGCAGGAGGACACGAATAGAACTTCAGGCATGGTTCAAGACAAACTGCAGGATGACTTATTCGTAATAAGAAGTAGGATTTAACTAAAATACTTTTTGAATAGAAATAAACCTACTGGCCATACGTGTGTCCATCACACAGATATTTTTTTTTTTGAGTGGGTTGAAATGCCATGTTTCACATCAAGATTCTTCTAAACCAAGTTTGGATGAGTGTCATGCACTTGTTGCTAGCAGACTGCAGGAATTACTTTCATTTTTTCCACTGTAGTTAACTGTAGCTAAAGGAGGGACTGTGTTTATGTATTCTGCAGCTGTACTTAATGAAGTCAGGGCTTTTGAAAAACATTGAATCCTATGCTGTCAGGATGAACCCTCTACCTGGTAGAGGTAGATCTCCTCTACCTGTCAGTGTACCTGTCACATGTGGAAGTACATATACTGCTTTTTCTGAAAACATACTACCTTGTTTAATATAAAAAAAACTTCCTACAAGCAATTTATCTTTGATATAGAAAAGCTAAGCAGTATATTTTGGTGTGTTTCATGTGCCAAGAGTGGAATAGGATTTTGTATTCTTTCAGTATGTGTTTTGTAGGCTTATATCTATAGTCTGACTTTTGTTTAAAAAATATCTTAAACTTCTTGTGTTGAAATTCTGTCTAAGAGGAGCCTAGCTGCTTGTTCTCCACGCCTGGCAGATGGCTGGGTTCATTCCTGGTGCAAATCCCTGTGTTCCTGTGCTGCAGGCATGCGGGCTGCTCCTGGTGGGACAGGCCCAAAGTGCTGCTGTGTGTGTCCAGAGCCCTCCTTTTAGGCTAGGTACAAACTAACTTTGTTTGTTGAAGTCTTGGTAGGCTTTGTTATGTTCATTTTTCAGATTCTTCAGTTTTACTTGGTAGGATTTGTTCCACTGCAGAGTGGGTGACCTCGGGAGCTCTGTGAGGAATTGCCAGTATTTCCTGCTGCAGCAGAGAGCTCCCGTGGAGCATGTTTGCTTTCTGGACAGAATTAATTTTGTCCTGTTTATAATTATCAGGAAGTGTAAAGAAGGAAAAAAGCTCCTTACTGTAAATTGAAATTAAAATAGTGGGGAGGTCAGAGTAGCTTCCTTCATAGCATTGTGGAAGCAAGGCAGGTCACAGAGTTGGGTGGTGTAAATCCAGGAATTGTGCTTTACTCACAGTGTTTTCAAAAGCTGTGGTAAAAGGGAACTTGGGCAGTATTTTTCTTTCTGTGGATATAATTACGTGAGTGGGAGAGACATTCATGGCTTGAACTGGCCGCAGCTGATGGAGTAGGGCATCCTGTTGCCATTATATCCTCTTAAGGGGGTAACTGATATTGCTAGATTTTTTGTTTGTTTGTTTTGTTTTTTTGAGTAACAAGAGGTAGTAATGACTTCCTTTTTAATCTTGCACATGAGGTGACATCCTTCAGTTTCTTGTCTGTCATTCCTGTGTTCACTCTGCTTTTTGGATTGGCTGGGCCTATTGGGAGTTATTGCGTGATGCTCATGAGAGCACCTGGCTGGGCAAGCACTGAAAACAAAAATTACTGAAGGGGAAGGAAGAAAGTGATGCAGCAAAGAGAGATGTGCTGGTTGTTTTGAAAAGAAAGATAGAGAGTAACTGTGAAGGCTGTGCTGAAATTAGAATAGAAGAATATCATTGTGTCTATGTTTGTTAGTAAGTTTAGATTACAGAGAACTGGGCCAATTTTTTGGCTGGGTGAATGTGTTTTCTAATATGGTATAAACACAGATCTCCTTGTGCTGCTGTTGTGCTGGCTTCTCTCTAATCTTACTGTGATCTCCTTTGGATTGATTAAGGAACTAATCACATAATGATCATAAGAGGTGTCAGGTTAAAGATTTCCAGCAGTTGTTCAAAGGTGAATATATACCTCTTATGGTAAAATACTAGGATTGGTAGTCTCTTACATCTTGTCTTTGAAAGCTGGGACTCGGTTAATGATACTTGTTTTTTCTCTTAGTCTTTGATGAAGTTAATAATGCAACGCTACTTTAATTCTGCTGCTAAGGCTTTCTTTTGAGAAACTTTGTGACCATGCAATGTTTTTTATAACTCTGTGCTTGAATGAGTCATTTAAAAGATTTATTCAGTGTGAGCAATTTATTTTGTATCTTGGGTTATTAACTTAGTGAAAAGCTGTGATGTGTTAGAAGTATTAGTTAGCTGAAAGGAGCTCTTTCCAAAGTGTTTACATATGTTTGTGTGCAGTATGTGTTAATTTTTCTTTATTTTCATGTTTCTTTCTTTCAGCTGTCAAACGTTTGATGAAAGAGGCTGCAGAACTGAAGGATCCTACAGATCATTATCATGCACAGCCTTTGGAGGTTTGTTTTCCCATGTGCTTGCAGCAGCATGTAATAAGGCTCTGTAGTATATGCTATAAGTCCTCTATATACCTTTAAACGTGCATATTTAAATAGCAGCAAACTATCTTAAAGTAAATTCAGTTCTTCAGATGTTTTGGAAAGCAAGAGCAGAATTCTATATTTAATAGTACTGTGGGCTGAGATTTTTAGTGAAAGTACACAATAATAGTGTTTTCATATTCTGTGTAGTTCTGTCACATGGGTACAATATGTTTATTCCCCCTTCTCTTCCCTGAGACTATTAAGTTTAATTAAGCTTTTTTACAGTAATCAAAAATTAGCGTTACCACCACTATTTTCATCCCAAATCCAGAACATGGCGTCACACGAGGGTTTTGAGTTGAAAGGATGGTGGAATTCTGGTGCTTAGAAGCATAAAAAGAAACACGTTCTGATTTTTTTCTGGAGTAATCACAAAAATAAAAGTTAATGTTTTGCTCAGTTTGGGGAATTGATTTGACTGCTTTCAGAAATATGTAGCATATTAAACATGCTTGTAGCTGGTAGCATGTTTCTGTTTTACTACTGACTAACCTTGGTCTGTACCTCGTTTTCTTTCTGAGGTGAGACGTAAGGTTTAGCTCATGCAATTACTTGTAATTGAAATGAAAACTTTATTTTGCAGTTTGAAAAGTGACTCATTAAGAAGTGAACAGTGGTATGTGAGAAGAAATGCTGGAAATGTTGACAGCTCCCTTCCTTGGGAAAAGCTGTAGCAAGATGAGCAGTCACAGGCATGTGATACCTATGTTCAGCATTAGTTAGGAGACCTTATTCACCAAAAGCAAGCTTCATTGGACTGCAGTGTTAATAGTAGGACTTGTTTTGTCCAAGGAATCATGAGCATCAGGATATCTAAAGCACAAAGCCAAACTCGGAGCTCCCAAAATAATACTTAAGAAGAAGTTATTTCCTTGTCCAATGAAAATATTCTGAAATTCAAACTCTGTGTATTGCAGTAAGGCAGGATAGTGGTGAGTCTGTGGAAAAACAAATGAGGATGGGAATTCTCAGGAACTTGCATCAGATCCCTGTGTTGCCCTGGCACAGAGGAGATCTTGTAGGAGTCTGTGATTAATGTTCTTACTTGAAGAGAGCCCTCCAGTTCTGTATAAACTATTATTCAGTGGGGCAAAGACTGAGTTTTCCCATATTTGACTCTTATATTCCACATGTCAGGAAATAAAACTGTTCTAATAATAGGCACAGATAGAGGTGAAGACCTTGAATAATGATACATTTGAATTTTCCAACTAAGTCATATGGTAAGAAAATTACCAGGGAAGCTACTTCATTTATCCTGTTGGTTATCTTAATCTCTATCTGATTTTTTTTTTTTCTTCTTTTAAAACTTGCCATTCATTATTTTCTTAGAACAGAGGCTAAAGAAATGATGATTACATGTCAACTTCCTTGACATGTTTTTCTTTTTCCTTTGGTGTGGGTATTTTAGGATAATCTTTTTGAATGGCACTTTACTGTGAGAGGTCCTCCAGATTCAGATTTTGATGGAGGAATATATCACGGACGAATAGTGCTTCCACCTGAATATCCCATGAAACCACCAAGCATTATTTTGCTGACGGTAAGAATATGTACTAGTTTTTCATTTTTTTACATGTTCATTTTTACCTTGGGTATCTGAGAGAAAGATTCCTGTCACCTAAGTTAACATTATCTTTTATAAGACAGGGGGCATAGTACAATTAATGCTCCCAGTCTAGTGACAGAAGTCTTTCAAAGTTACTTTGATATTCTGTGGTTAGATGGAGTTTTGTGTCTACAAGCGGAAGGCTTCCCCAAGACTAATACTAATTGCTTATATGGATGTCTAATCTTTCTATTGTCTCTGTGGGTCATAGAATAAGAGAGTAATTATGGTTGGAAATGACCACGAAAATCACCTTGTCCATTTGTCAGCCTGCCACCACTGTGCACGAGGCCAGGCTGGATGGGGCTTTGAGCAACCTGGCCTTGTGGGAGATGACCCTGCCCATAGCAGGAGGTTGGAGCTATGTGAACTTACATGATCTACGTGGTCTCTGTTAACGTGTGTAAAGCACACCTATGATATGGCTGAAGGCTGTGTTTCTGTGTAATTTCATAGAGCTATAGATTTTCAGACTCTCCACACGTGTGTGGATTACAGGAGCAACAGGCAAGCCATCATGGCACACTGGGACGTATCAGGTAGGAGTCTCTTTGTGCATGAATGAAGGGAGTTGGCAGACTTCTTTGTTGGGAAAGCTGAATGCCATATTTGTGAGGTTGGTGGTAATACAGTTACAAGTATTGTTTGCATATGGATTTATGATAATCTTAATAACTTGTTTTCTTTGTACAAAATAACCATGTTTTATTATATCCTCCTTTCTTTAAAGGCTAATGGCAGGTTTGAAGTGGGGAAGAAAATTTGCTTAAGCATCTCAGGGCATCATCCTGAAACATGGCAGCCTTCATGGAGTAGTAAGTAACAAATTATTTGAAAATCATATTTACACTTGAAAAATCTTACAAAGAACACTACAATAGCACCTCATTAATATCTTTCTTGATCCTTGGACTAATTCTTAGTATGCATGCCAAATCTCCTCTCATGTGCTTCCCTGAATTCTGAGAAACTCTGGAATTGCTGCACGCTGAGGAGTGAGCAGGAGAAAAAACCTCTTTTCATGGTTTTGTGTGCATTACTTTATTTATTTGCATTGGTTTGTTTGACAAAACCTGACTGAATTACAAAGCAGTTCTGCTAGTGTCAAGATTTTTTATTTATTTATTATGACATTAGGAGAATAAATGGAAATTGCATTGATACTGCAAATATTAAGCAGAACATAAAGATCACCTTCCTAGCTCTGAGTAAGAATATGAGATGCAATTTCTGCTGCTTGTGTTCTACCCCATGCAAACACACCCATGTTCTTAAATGTACTTAATTTTTGCCAGGAGCAGCATGTGTGGGAAAATGAATAGAGCTCATAGTGGAAGGGGAGGCAGATTTTTGAGGGAGCAAAAGAATGGGAGAGTTATAGAAATGTGAAGCTGTGAAAGAGGGACACAGGAAGATTTGGAAACTATGGTCAATAAACACAAACTGGAAAGATTGAGAAACTGAGGAGTATTGATAAGCTGTTAATGTTTGTGCATCCAAATAAAAATTCTCAGACTTGTTGAGATATTCTTAGCTTTTAAAAATCATTCTCACATAAATATTTTAAATTCCATTGTTTCACTTCCCCCCCCCCCCCCCCTTTGTCTAATCACTAAAATCAGGCTGAGTGTTGATTGAGAGGAGAGTGGTCAACTTTCATTCTAATGCTTTACCACTCCAGAGGAAAGACATGGGATCTAAACTGAGAATAACTGAATGTTTTCCATGCTTTTTAAAAGAGGTTTTATTATCTGAACGGTTTCTGAGTTGGCACAATTGATCCAAGGTGATGATTCTGTGTTGCTTAGTACAGGATATCAGTTATTTCTTTGAATATCAGTTGCATTTTTAAAATAATGTTGGTAAGATCTTAGGAATTCAAGTACTGTCAAATCTTTTACTTTTTTTTAAAGAGCACAAAATAGCCTTTGGAATAGGAGTGCATATGCATCCTGTATTATTTTGTGATTTTTTTTTCATATTATATTTATTTACCAAATCTTCTGGCGAGCTGCTTTGAATTCTTAAATCTCACGAATGTATGTAAAGCAGAATTGGAGGATAAGTATTCCAAAAAGAGATGTTTTAGGCAACAGTTCTGAGTTATCTGTATTTAAGTTAGTTCCTTACCCAACATGAAAACATAAAGGGAACAAATTCTGCAGTACACTTCATAAAAGAAAATCACTGAGCTTCTGTGCACTAAATGGCAGAATGTGTGTCTGATAGGAAGTATGCACAAAAAGAAGGATGCCTTATGAATCTGCATCTTTCTTCCTTATCATTTATATATCCGTTTTTATTTGGAGCATAATAGTAAAGTTTGGAACTCTATAGTATTTTTGTGACAGCTTAGCTTTCCTTCTCTGTGTTGGCTGATGGTAAAATAAGACTTTGACTTGCATTTTAATGTGAAGTTCAAAAAATGGGAAGTCATGTTCTGTATTTAGAAACAAACAGCTCTGCGTGTGTGAAACTCAGACTGCTCTTTTGGACAAAACAGAAGTTTTATGGGCAGTACTGTAACCCGTCTTACTCATTGCAGAGTAAGATGAAGTAGCCATTATTTCTGCAACTTTATTTGTACCTCTGTTTTCCTATTTTAGTAAGAACAGCTTTACTAGCAATTATTGGATTTATGCCAACCAAAGGTGAAGGAGCAATAGGATCTCTGGATTATACACCAGAAGAAAGAAGAGCTCTCGCGAAGAAGTATGTATTAACTTTGTTACTGTGGATAAATGCACATACACTGTCTTTTTTGAGTAAGGCATTAAGCAGTAAGTAGTGTAAGTCAGGAGACTGTTCTCTTGAGCTTACTTCACATTTAAATAGCAAAGCAAACAAGCAAAACCAAAACAGTGGAATATTCTGTGCCTTACATGTTTTTCTTTTCCTGAATATTATGCAAGCTGAAGACTTATGGGTGAACAAATTACCTGGGGAGTGCTGTGCTCCTGCCAAGGTTGTGTGGTCAAATTAGAAGTTCATCTGTAATTTGTTTGGTAGAGATGTGAGTAACATTGTATCACAATGGTAATCGTCCTGCATAAGGAAAATTAATGTGATGGAGTAAGAGTGAGTGATAGAGAAAACAACAACAAAGCCCCTTTTCCCTCAGGAACATAATATAACAGCAACAACAACAATCTAAAGTAATGGCTTCTGAATAATTTTTAGGAAATTAACTTAATTATATTTGGGATTTTAATGACATTATTAGCTTGGTAGGCAGGGGAAGAGCAGTGGATGTTGCTTATCTCTACTTTAGCATGGTTTTCAGTACTGTCTTCCTTTCAACATCCTCATAGAGGAAAAATTGTGAAACATAGCCTAGGTAAGTGCATAGGGAGTTGGGTTGAGAACTGGCTGAGCAGCCTGGCTCAAATGACTGGTCAGGGATTTTGAATCCAGCTGGAGGCCAGTCATTCGCTGCTGGTGTACCCCAGGGGTTGATGGTGGGACCAGAGATATTCAGCATCATTAATGACCTGTATGGTGGGACATAGTGTGCCCTCGGCAAGTTTGCAGGTTGTTAAGAATGGGGAAGAGCCTCTAAAATGCCAAAGGCTTGTGCTGCCATCCAGAGGGATTTGGACAGGCTGATGAAATGGGCTAAGAGAAATCTCAAGAAGTTCAGCAAATGGAAATGCAAAGTACAGCTCCTGGGGAGAAATAATGCCAGTATCAGCTGGGACCAACTAGCAGGAATTTGGCTTGGCAGGAAAAGAAATGGGGTCATGGTGCCTCTAAGTTAGCTGTGACACAGCAATGCACCTTTGCATCAAAGACCAGCAGCCTCCTGGGCCGTTAGGAATGGCATTACCAGCATGTGGAGAAAAAGGTGATCTTTCCTCTATGCTGCAGTCTACACCTGCAGTCTTGGATGTGGGCTGGGGCTGTGTCTAATTCAGGATACAGTGTTGATAGGAATTACTGAAGGGAGTCTAGTTGAACTAAATGGCCACCAGAGGCCAAGTGCCCTTGTTTTTTTTTTTAACAGATGGGTGTGAGTTTACTGTGCCTGTGCTCTGAGCTAATCAGCAGCCTGCAGCGTGGCACTGTGATATAGCTAATAAACCCTGCTGAGAGGTAGGGTTTATTGAATTGATCTGGATAGTGTGTTATGAAGGCTGTTTGGTCTCTGGTCAGCTTGAAGAACTGCCTTCAATATGCACTATAGACAAATTCTGTGCGCAAGAGTAAAGGTAATGCTTTAGCAGAAACTTGGATTTGAGGTACAAACTCCTGACAGAATATGTATTTGTAGTATAGACTCTATTCAACATGTTTCAAGGTAATGCAGTTCATGGGGGATGAGGGATGGGAAAAAGGCTTTTGGTCTTGAAACTGCATCATTATATGGACTGCTTTGCAAATGCTTTGCTTAGCCAAGCATATAAGAACATTATGAGAATGTGTCATTCTGAGTTCTGTCATTTTGTGGCCAGGTCACAAGACTTCTGTTGTGAAATGTGTGGCACATCTATGAAGACAGCTCTCTTACCACTAACATCAGGAAGTGGATCAAGCCAGGCAGACAAGGAGGCTAAAGAACTTGCCAGACAAATTAGCTTCAAGGTGTAGTAACTGTTCAAACATCTTTTTTTTTCTGCTGTACAGAACTGGGAGGGGGGAAAAAAAAAAAGCAAATTGTGGAAAAAAGTTATTTCACAAACCTTCATAGATTACTACATGAAAATTTGTGTTTTTAAGGACAAACTGAAGGAGAAAAATGGGAATGGATCTCTGGAAATGTGACAGTTTATAAACTGTGCATCTCAAGTACTGATTAATTGGTAATAATTTCAGTGATAGCTACTCTGGTAAAAACTGCATATATTGCTTTCAGTTCTATGTTTTCACTTATAATGCGATTAAATTCTCCAGACTTTGTCAGAAATGTGCTAGGAAAACTAGGAAAACACTGTCCTAAAGACTGTGGGTTGTTTTGTGTGCTATGAGAGTGAAGATTGCTTCATCACTGCCAGTTTTGCAAGACAGGTGCATTCTTTTCTTACCTCACGCCTACACATGTTAATATAGGAGTCTACATGTAATGCTTACGGTTACGAACTCAACCAGATATTTTTGAGGATGAGGAAGCACAGACAGAATTTTGAAGCTGAGCCACCCAGAAAAGCAAATTAGATTCACTGCCCATCTTCTTTACAGTGTTTAAGATTTAAAAAGTGTGAGTTTAGTTTTTTAAGCACTGCTAGTCTTTATTGCAGAAATATTTTAGTACAGTTTCTCCTTTCAAGAACTCATCTCTCATACTTTCTTCTCAAGACTAAAGTTTTTGAAGTGAAAGATTTAAGAATGTCAGTCTCTAAAGACCATTGACGCATTCCATGTATTTAACTCAATTTCTGAAGGGAAAAAACACTAAAGGAATAAGTGAACATGATTCAGGGTTTAACATTCTCTTTACAGTCCTTCATTCTGTTTTGTTTTAATGCAAGGTAAATTAGCCCTCTTCTGTAGGTGCTCTTAACTCCCTTTCTCAAATTGTTTTTTTTGTTTGTTTGTTTGTTTTTTTTAGTTTCCTACACCTCTGTTGTTGTCTTTGTTATCATTCATGTCATGTTAGACTGAAACAATTTGCATGTTTGTAGCAAAATAGTATGAATTACTAGCAGAGTACAGAAATACAGAAGTTTTTAATAATTTGAGTATATTTCATGTCAACTTATGGGATAGGATTTCTCCTTAAATAGCCAATTGGGTGTGTAAATTGGGTGAGCCTCTCTGCTAGTAAAAAACATAAGCAATATCTACATTATCTTCATCCTTGTAGAAGAGATTCCTTAACTTTTTCTAGATCCTAGGATTATAAGAAATTCTTTCATACCAGCCTTAAGCAAAATGATAACTTTTTAAAATACTTGTGTTTGGTCTTGAAAAAAGAGTACGAAATTCAAGAGGAAAAGGTGTTCCCTTAATTTTCCCACTTTAAGCTTACATGTTTGATAGCAACAGTTTTTAACATAATAACATTGACTTGCAAATCTTGTTCGTTTTAGATGTTATGTACCATAAATACCATTCCACTTAAAAGATATGACTCATATATGCATTATAAGAATTTATTCCGTAAAACAATGTTATATCCACATGATGCCATTATAAGGCATATTATGCAGTAAAATTAGTTTTCCATCCACTTTCGTTGTTATGTTTAAATTTGTTCAATTTTCTGTGAGGTTTCTGGATTTTCCAGGAGCAAAGGTAACTCCTGGAGAAAAGAGAGATTAGGCTGGAAAAAGATGCTAAATTGGTAAACTTTGGAGTACTTTTTTTTAATTAATGTGACTTCAGTCTAGTATACTAGTCTTAATACTTTAATAAACTAAAGTAAATCAAATGCTTGAGGAAAGGAAGTACCAACTGAATGTGAGGGGGGGGAAAAAAAAAATCACCATGAAGGCTGTTAAACACCAGAGCACAATGCTCAGACAAACTGTAGCATCGCCAGCTTCAGAGAGGCTTGAAACTTGAGTGGACACAGCCCTGCTTGGAGGAGAGAGTTGGATCCAGTGATGTCTGAAGTCCCTTCCAGCCTAAATTATTCCATGAGTCTGTGTTGATTTGTTTCTGATCCGCATTTGAGCCATAAATTGTTCTATCCTAACTATCCTAATATTAAACTCTATAGTAGTCCATATAGTGCTCTCTATAACTTCCTGAAGGGAGGTTGTAGTGAGCTGGGGGTCGGCCTCTTCTCTCGTGTCATTAGTGATAGGACCAGAGGGAATGGTTTCAAGCTACAGCAGGGGAGATTCAGGCTGGACATGAGGAAGTATTACTTTTCAGAAAGGGTGGTCAGGCACTGGAATGGACTGCCCAGGGAGGTGGTGGAGTCACTGAGCCTGGGGGTGTTCAAGGAAAGGCTGGATGTTGTGTTGAGGGACATGGTTTAGTAGGAGCTATTGGGAATAGGTGAACGGTTGGACTGGGTGATCTTTTAGATCTTTTCCAACCTTGGTGATTCTATGATTCTACGAGTAGTCAAGTGTAAAAAGAAGTCAGTATTATCATTGTTTGATTGTAAGTATTTTTAAATCTTAAAATCATGTTCAGATCATTTCAGTGGCAATAGTATTCCAGGAAAATCAGAAAATTAAGCATCAAGAAACAGGGGATTTGATTTCCCCACACAGAACAGCAATGTGGAAGAATATTATTATTTTGTCATCTTCTTAGTTTGTTACCTACATGACTGGTTGGCTTCTAACCAGTTTGTATTTCCTGCTACCTTTACTTATATTTCCGTTTGAACTCAGGTACCAATCCTTAAATTTGGAACTGTAATCTCTGGAATAAGTTGAGATTCTGATACAGCTTTTGGGAGATGTAATATTACGCTCTTCAGGGAGAGAGACTTGCTCACGGTGTGGGGGGGGAAGGAGGGGAGGAGACTATCTGGTCCCAACCTTTTTGTTTTTTAATTGCTTTTTTTTAAATTTGGGTATGTATATGCTGTAAAGTGTTTCAATTCAGGAGTGTGATGATATGTCCTTCTCTTAATGCAAACATACTGTTTTAGGAGGAGGCTTGGTAACAACTCTCTATATATTCCTACAGATCTACCAGTATCTCAAATTTCCAAAAGTGTGAAACATTAATTCTGAAAAATTATGCTTATTAGACATTTTATATGTGTATGTAATACAGCATTATAAGGGTGTGTAAATCTATTTTAGTTCTTGCACCGAAACTTAATGAAAACTTACTGCCTGATGCAGGGTAGTGCCCTGCACACGCATGCTTTCTGGCTGTGAGACGATCCTAGTACTCAAACCACTACAGCAAACTCAAGGTAGCACTTAGTGGAGCTAATGTGCCCTGATGAGAAACAGGCTGTGTTAGTTCCCATGTGACAATACAGTCAGCACTTAGTTAAGCATCATGAGAAAGAGCAGTTTTATAAAGATGATGTTATTTCTGGCACAGTAATCTTTTGAAGAATTTTCTTCTTTTGTTGTTTTTTTTTAATGCTATACCTATTATTATGCACAAACAAATAGAACTAAGAAAATCCGAAATAAAACTGGGATATTGTCTAAGCTGGTGTTTATTATCTGTAATCTTATTTCATAAGAGTTAGATTTTCATAAACCTGTTGATGTGTTGAAATACAGTTGGCATCATTCTTGGAATGAATACTCTAGGAAAATTTAAATCTTTCAACTTTGATCTCACCTCTGAAGTGTGTGCATGTATTCCTTGCAGGCAGAAGTCAATTCGTCCAGGAAGTCCGAAGCAGAACCTTCAAACTCAGCAGGACTGAACTGCTCTGCTACTTCACCTGAGCCCCAGCAGGATGGTGCAACTCGAGCATTCCGGGATCCAGCGAGTGCAATGGTATGGTCCATGTCTGAGTTTTATCAGTGCATAGTCTGAATGTGAAATCTGCACTACTGATGGTAACTGATAGGAGGCTTTGTTACCAGTATGCAATCCATGTGTTTCTTGTCAAATTTCTGCATTTCATGTAAACTGCAGCAAACATTATGCAGGATGGCTTCTGAAAACAGAGATCTCGTGTTTTCACTTTCTTCTTTTTAAAACCAAACTATAAGACTATTTAAGTACTCTTCATGCAGTTATTTTTCCAGTAGCTCATTAAATACATGAAGTTACACTTCATTACGGTATTATGTCTTAGATACTATTTACCATCTGCAGAATTATAGAATCATAGAATGGTTTGGGTTGGAAGGGACCTTTAAGATCATCTGGTTCCACCCTCCCTGCTGTGAGCTACACTTCCCAGTAGACCAGATTGCTTGAATCCCCATCCAGCCTGGCTTTGAATGCTCCCAGGAGGGGCTACCCACACCTTGCTGGGCAACCTGTTCCAGTGTCTCACCATTCTCAGAATAAATAATTTCTTCCTAACATCTAGTCTAAACCTACGCTCTTTCAGTTTAAAATTGTTTCCCCTTGTCCTGTTGTCGTTACATGCCCTTGTAAAAAGTCCCTCTCCTGCACACCTGCAGACCCCCTTTGGGTACGGGAAGGCTGCTATAAGGCTCCCCCAGGAGCCTTCTCTTCTCCAGGCTGAAGAGCCCCAGCTCCCTCAGGCTGCCCCCACAGGGGAGGTACTCCAACCCTCTGGTCTTCTTTGTGGCCCTCCTTTGAACCCACTCCAACAGCTTGATATGTAATAGATTTTTTTTCCAATTGTGGTCTTAATGAAAGGCAAAAAATGTTGCACTGGAAACTTGTAGCTTTTAAATTTGACTAAAATACTCTTACATTTGAAGTAAACTACATGACATTTACATCTTCATACTGCTAGGTATAGAGCTTACATAATAGTTTCAGAAGTGACCGAGGCCTGGTAGTGGGCCAAGGCAGCTGCTGTTATGACTCTGGCAAATGCAATCTAAAGTCACTGATAAATTGCAGACAAATCCCAGCTAAGCTGTGTTTTTTAGTGAGGATGGGGCTGCAGATTGGTTAAAAAAACTCTAACACGTCAAAGAACATCAGACCATCTGTTGCATGTTTGCAACATATTTTCAAGCTATGTAGAAATATGAACATGCTAATAACATATGTTTTTTCCACAAGAAGGATTTTTCCAGACCACTCAGAATTTAATAAACCATTTTGTTTCATTCTTCTCAGTACAAATCCTGGCTTATATTGTAGAACTGGCCAAAATACCAAACAACTGGTAGCGTTTTCTTGGGGGGAGTGGGGATGGGGAAGGAAACTTCAGTCAAAATTGATCTTTCAACCCCCCTGCCATGTGTAGGGTCACCGTTTTTCGTGCTAAAACTAATAGAAATCTTCTCAAAGCATGCAGGGGGCTGGAGAGACCACCTCCTATAGCAGTGGTCACCTAAATGTTGGTACCTATACTCTCATTGTAGTCTGTGGACTTGTTATTGGAGGCTGGAGAGCTATGCAGAGACTGGTAGGGCACATTGCCCTTCTATCCTTCTGGTTGTTCTGGCTGGTGCTATGGGCTGTTATGGGAGTATGAAGTTCAATCCATGTTAATACACTAAATGTAGGTGGACAGATGTGTGGTAGATATCCCACCTTGGTGTACACAGTTAATGAAAAAAAATGATAAGAATTACAAAGTGTCAGGCTAAAAACTGGCTATTCCATATTTTTTTTTAATAAATTAGGGGGATATTAAACCTCACTTGTTACTAAGCAGTATACTGTGGCAGTGTCTAGTACTAAAATACTGACTGGGTGAAGAGTAAGAGTAATAAAATAGTGCAGCTGAGGTCAACTAATATTCAACTACCGAGAGAGCAGCTTGTGTGAGAAAATGAAGCTACATATTGATATGTGAGCTTTATAGAAGTACATATTTTCCTTTTGCTTCTGTGTGATCTTTTTTCTTTGAATTAGACTACTCCTTATTTTTCAGCCCACATTGGATTTTTTGTTTTTTTTTTTTTTTTTTAAACATATATTCTCCTCCTCTCTTTCTGAGAAGGAAAGAGGAAGAGAACAGCGTGGTAGAGCTGAACTGCTTATCCAGTGTTAAACCACCAACCTGCGTGTGTGTTATTCTTGGCTGTCTCTGCAGATTAAAAACCCCAGGTGGAAATACATCTATTCTACAGGATTTTTCTTTGGAGCATCCCAGGCAGCTTGCTTACTTGGGCAAGAAACCTGAGTAAACAGCAAGCTGTCAAGTAGTTGCACTGGACTGAAAACGTCCATTTCAGACCTACCTTTTTGTTTTAATGCTTAAACATTTTGACAAGGCTCAATCTTAAATTCCAGCGTTTGTGTCACCGTTCTTCATAATGTAACACTGCAAGTTCTATCCTTTCAACATTAGAAGCAGGATTGGGACAGTGGAATGTCAAATCCCGTGGCTTCGGACCTACAAAGTGAGAGTGGATCGGGTTTAGGATGATGCTCTCCTGAGCGGAGCAGCAGCTGCCGTAGCTCGTTTGTCACTGGACGTAGCGGCAGCCAAACCTGTGGCCAGCAGAGGGCAATAGTTATGTGCGTGCATAGGTGCAGGAATCAGCAGGGCCTTTGTTTCCAGGGATTTTGTTTTGTCTTTTGTTTTCCCAGTGATATTTATGACGATGAGAGCAGAATTTTGGACCCGACTGACCACAGGAAGCAGTGCAGCAGTGCTTAATCTCAGCCCTTCGTACTTTTCTTCTTCCCTTGCTTTACTAAACTTGTTTCCCTATCACTATAGGTGACTTAAAGATCCGAAGACTTAACTGCCTGATCGATTACTAAAGATTTCTTGAACTGCAAGTAGTTGAGCAAATCACAGGCAAAGGTATTTGAAGTACCTGGATTTGAAACTAAGCTAGATCTCAAATGTTATTTGACAGACTTTCTTCAGACACTTCATGTCCTTAGAACTGCTTGAAATAGATTTCTCAAGGTGATGTGAGGACAAACTGGCTCTACGTAACAATATAATAAGTACTGGTAACATTTTTATCAGTATTAAGAATTATCTGAAGAGGCCATTTTAGTTCTACAGGTTGTCTTTGTTACCAGCTTTGCATACTGCCTTGCCTGACAGCTCTTCGTGTTTCCCTTTCAGTCAGAAGCTCAGCCCGGCAGCACAGCAGCTGGTCAGGAGCGTGCTGCGTCTGTGCCCACAAACACATCCCTGAGTCCCCGGCAGCGTCGTGCCCAGCAGCACAGCCAGAGATGGGCTCCAGCTTCAACTGACTTTAATCGGGTGCAGCAGCCCAGGGCCAACCCCAACCACACTGGATCCACCGTTCTGATCGTCCTTCTGACCTTTGCGCTCGCGGCTCTTATATTTCGGAGAATGTGCTTGGCTAATGAGTACATATTTGAGTTATAAGGTGGTCTCTATTGTAAGAGCAGTGATTTGGATGCTCTACTGAACGTTCTGTATTGCGTTTGACATGGGAACTGTTTACAAAGATTACTTTTGTATGTATGCTTACATCCATACGAATGTTAATGTAGCTGCAGATACGTTACTTTAAGAGAAGCCAAGCTGGACGTCTGACTGCAAGAAGTGTTAACTCAGTGCCCAACAGATTGCTGGAGAGAGCGTGGTGAAGTAGTAAGGCTAAAGGACATGTGAGGGGGGTGGTACAGTAATTTATTAATTGAAAAAAGGCAATTTTAAAAAGTGGCTGATTCACTTTTTTAATAAATGCAATTACCAACCCTGTATAAGTTAGCATAAGATCTAGCATTGGAGACAAAATTATAAAATGAATCAGTACAATGTGTTGGGGCCCAGTGAGCTCTTAATTTAGAGGTGATACAGCTTTGTAACACTTTTTATTTACTGTGACACATTTCTAGAGCAGAACACATACAAACTGGTTGAGATTCTGCTCTGTGTGTGTGAAAGGGGGAAAGGAGTGGGACAGGAAAGAAGGGGCCAGAAAACTATTTGCATTATTTTGGTTTTTTTTATTTGTTTGTAGGTAAGACTGGATAATCTTCTGCAAGTTTTGAATGTCCTCTTCTAATACTCTCAACTGTATATCTTGCTTTTTTAAAATTGGAAGGTTAATGTAAAACATGGCTATTCTTGCAATAGTTATAAATATGTAATATAATTATTTACCCAGAGTTATTGTCTTTTAATTATACCAGAAGTATACATAGGGCATTAAGCCAAATGTTTCACTTGTGGTTTTATTTCCTAAAGAAAACATAAACCTTATTATACTTAAGCTCTCATATATATGAACATGCTTAAGAGAACTATTTATTAAAACTTGATAGTAACAAACTGTTTCAAGCCAGTCTTCGGTTATGTTTTAAGTATCTCAGAGCTTTTTATTTGTTTTGTTTTGGTGGCTTGTAGCCTGAAATCAATATTGGACCCAGAGACTTTCTGTATTATTATTTTATTAAAAATAAATAACTGGTAAGATACTCATGAATGCTGTGAAATCATATATTCGGGCAATAGACCAAAACTTGTTGAGTTTTTAGAGGTTTTGTCTGTAGAATCTTCTAAGGCATTGCAGTGAAGTAAAAGAAAGCAATTGGTGGGATAATTTTCCACCCATGTTACTGTAACTAAATCTTGGTTTTGTTTTCAAATAGCACAGACTTAGCTAGATTTTCATGCTGCTTCTAGGCAAGTACTTACTAAAGTACGCTCTTGAATTTTGTGAAGTACAGTACGTGGCAGTGGTTTGAAACATTAATGTAACTATAACAACCTCTAAAATAAATAAAGCCCGTTCTGTGTCTAATGGGGCTTATTGACATCTGCTTTTTTTAAGACAACAAACCTTCATAGCATTGTTGATGCTCTTGCTTGTGGAACAGAGATGGAAGAAAACTACATGCTTTACTGAACAGATCACATTCCACTGCAGAACAGTTTGGTGTCCTCTGTGAAGTGATGTTTTTCCTCTTTGTAAATTTATTTTGTTAGAAATGTTTACAATAATTTGAAGGTCCCATAGTCTCTGAAAGTGGTATTCTTGGTTGGTGTGTTGTTTGGATACCTGCTCTGTATTACAGACCGTACTCACAGGAGAGCTGTGTGAGAAGTCTGACCCACAGGAGTGTAGTGCTGGCTTTTGGCCTTTCTGCTCCTCTGGAAGCTTTGCTCTGAGTGTACGTTTCTGTTTCTAGAGCCATGCTGCTGTGCCAGCATACTTGTTGTTTAGAAAAATAAACGTGGATGTTTATTCACTGGCACATAAACCAACTGGCTGCTGATTTATATGCAGAGTCTGCTGTGCATGTAGATAACTGGGGGGGGGAGGCTGTGTTTTAATTTTTATCTGAAATTTAACAGTAAATAAAACAATTTTCTGTGGAAATAGCTTATCTTTTCTCTTCAACAGCATGAAGAGCCAGAACCTAGGGGGGAAAAAAATCAGCTATCAAAGTTCCACTGTTCCACTGTTGTGGAATGTCCTTAGCGGAATGCGGTGGCAGAGGCAGCGCCCGGTTGGAAAAGACACCTTGTGAGTAAACAGAAAATCTGAGAGGCTGATGAGAAGGGACAGCCCTGTTTTACACAGCCTGGCACGAGGACAGCGCTGCCCTGAGATTAGGGGATTGAGCAAAAAGCTGGCGTGCCGAACTGCCGTTTTTATATAATGGCTTTAGCAAACATCCTCTAGGACCCAGTGGAAATGCTCGCTGAGGCAAACTTGGGGATTAATGGCCAATCATTGAGCGTGGTGAGGGAACGGCTCCCAGGGAGAAGCTTCTGAGAGCCTGTCTGGAACAGGGCAGCGGGAGATCCCGCCGCTATCGTGCAGCGCTGGCATTGGGGCGCTCCGATGCTCCGAGCTGGGGGCTGCTGTGCCGTGGGAGGATACGGCCGTGCAGTGTGTCCAGCCAGGCCCAGCAGGATGCCTCACTTTGCAAAACTGCTTCTGTTAATCTTCTGCTTGGTGCTGCTTGTGGAAAGCAAGAAGCACAGAAGGAGGAGGTGGACAAGCCAGCCGGAGCTGCAGAAGGCTGGGTAAGGGTGACAAGAATGTGCATGTTCCTTAAAGCCTGCCCTGTCTGTGTGTTTGTGCGTGTTGTGAAAGTACCTTTACAAGTGACATTTTACAAATAGTCTTTGTGTTCATTTCTAACCATACATGGTCAGGGTCAGCGAGGAAAGGTTTGCAGCCAGCTTGGCAGCTTCTGCAAGCTCCGTGGTGAAGCTGTCCATAAGGTGCACTTGAACAGCTGAACTGCAGGGAGATTTCAGAGACCCTGCAATAAACCACGGTGTTCAAACTTGTGCATATTGCCAGTGTCGGGCAGCAGAGGCGTTTCAGCAGTGGGCTATGTGCCATCTGCTGTTGTGCCTCTGCTGCTTTGTTCCCTCAGCATGGTGGTGGTGGCAGTGGCTGACAGCCAGAGGAATTGGTCTGCATGCATGGCATCGATAACACGTAGTTACCCAGCGATGGTGAAATTAGAGATGCATTCTGAAGAATGATGTGGGAACACTTGAAAAATACTTCACTGTCATGCAAATGCAAAGGAGTTAAAGGTCTTAGTAAACTTTATTAGGTTTGCTGTTAGTGAGATTTGAGCAGAGGTTTACATTAGAAAAGATAATCTTCCAAACCTACTGTGCAGCCCGAGGGTTCTTATCCTTTTTGTAGTTATGTTATCTAGGGGCAATTATATCTGACAAGACTGTTCATTGTTCTGAGGGCTCAAAGACTAAATGGGGTTAATCTGTCCTACTAAATGGCTTCTCTTGGGTTGTAAACCCTTCTCTTTTGCTTTTCTTTTTTATTTTTGGTACGGTACTTAAGTTGTCATTTTGGAGGGTGTTGTTAAATGTGTGTTTCAGCAAGGCATATTGCGGTACAATTGAAAGCAGAGTGTCCCTGATGTGCTCATAGTTGTATACCAATTCCTGAACAATACGGCGTTCTGTGCTTATAGCAAAATATAATGTTGAATATTTGGAAACATCAAATATGAATGACAATTTAAAGACAGAGAATTCTGCAATATTAAAAAAAAAAAAAGAGTAGATGGAGCAATGACATTTATACTTTAAATGTCAAGTCACATAGAGAGAAAAAATGAAGTCTCTAAACCAGTGAAGAGCTGTGCTGATTTTTTAACTGTATAAGAGAAATGAGACCAGCGTCCTTTTCTAGTAGCTGCACTGTGTCTTCTGTTTATCATTTCTCAGGAATAAAGCTGATTTATTTTACAGGGAATGACTTAGCCAAAAAACAAACAAACAAACAACTGGTTCCCACATTAGGGATTCCCACATTAGGGAGCCTGTATTAGAAGTTTGACATTCTGTGCCTCTTATGTTGACACATCAGCTTGGTCTGCAGCTGTTTTGTATTAATATCAAGAAGCTTGGTTGGGTTGTGCCTATGCAGAATTCCTCTTTGTTACGTGAAGACTTTGCAGAGGTTCAAGGGTGAAGACCAAGGGTGTCTGTGCTGCTCCAAACTCCGGGACAGTGTCTGATGAGCGCTCGCAGAGATAAACGTGTCCCTTCATGGGGAAGGCTAGGCTATGAGAAAGGCTAGGCTGTAAAACCTGCAACCCCAATTAAGAACTGCCAGTTTAAGGGCTGCACAAGCAAAAGGAAGTATTTAAATGCTGTAAGGCATTATTTTTTTCTGTGTGAGTGGTACCTCATTTTCCATGTTGCATGGGTAATACTTAATGCAAAACTGCTTGCGTTTCCCTTATTCCTGCACCGTCACTTTGTGTGTCAGCTGGCAGAAACACTGCTTTTGGAACAGGAGTCCCTCTGAACTGATTTTTGGAAGCAGTGATTTAGCTTATTTCATTTATGCCTTAATTCTCGGGGCAGATCCCTGTGCTCTCTGTGGGTCTGTCAACTCTTTGAAAGGGTAGGTAACAGCAAGACAAGGGGAAATGGTTTTAAGTTGAGGGAGGGAAGATTTAGTTTGGATGTCGGGGGGAAGTTCATTACTACAAGAGTGGTGAAGTGCTGCAACAGGCTGCCCAGAGAGGTTGTGGATGCCCTGTCCCTGGAGGTATTCAAGGCCGGGTTGGATGGGGCCCTGGGCAGCCTGGTCTGGTATTAAATGGGAAGGTTGGTGGCAGAGGGGTTGGCAATTCATGATCCTTGAGGCCCCTTCCAACCCAGGCTGTTCTGTGATTCTGTGGGTCTTTCATAAATGCAATATTTGGAAGTGGCTTGGGGGTTAAAATACAGTGATAACTGGCTGCTTTCAGGTGTGCTGCTCACTGAGACAGTGCTGTGTAATAATCTGTAATAAACTTAAAAACACATACAACGATAGAACAGATTTTTTTCATTATTTACTTCTGTTTAGAAAATATTTTTCATAATTTGAAGACAAAATGGAAGATCCTAAGTAGCTGATGATAAGGTGTGTTGTGAGTGTGACCATGGAATAATGTGTAATCCTAAGTGTACAATAACAGTGATAGTGCATGCTGTGTGAATTTCTCTGTTGTTTTCCATTCTAGGGTCTGATTTATATTTTTTTATCTAAAAATCTGGAAAGGAAAATCACTTCCCTTTCTTTTTTGAGGATACTACCCCAAAATAGACCTTGAGCTTGCCAGGAAATACTCTGCTGTAATTAGGCCCAAGTGGTCTGGGTTAATCGGTATCACACAGCATTACAAAGGGAATCATAGAATGGCTTAGGTTAAAAGGTCCTTGAAGGTATCTAGTTCCAACTCCTTGCCATGGGCAGGGCTGACCCCCACCAGCTCAGTCTGCCCAGGGCCCCATCCAACCCGGCCTTGAGCACCTCCAGAGATGGGACGTTCACAGGTTCTCTGGGAAACTGTGTGCCTGTGCCTCACTGCCCTCTGAATAAAAAAAATTATTCCTAGAAGGTAACCTAAATCTACCATCTTTTAGCTTAAAGGGTGGGGCAACTCCCCCAGATTCCAGTTTCTCCTCATTATTTCCCATGGTGTGTGCATTGATGTAGAGGTACTTCAGCTGGGCCTTTGGCCACATTACCTTCCTAGAGGAGCCCTTCCCAATAATGATCCCTGCTAGCTTGTTTGCCCCTCCTGGTGGCCCATCCCATGTCAACCTTCCTGGTTAGTCAAAGGTGCATCCTTGATTGTAGAAGCCAAAACCCTGGGCATGACACCATCCATGTAGCCATTCATTCAATTGGTCTGTTCTACTCCTCCTGCCCGGATCCCAGTCTCCAACCAGGAGGACTGAGGAGAACACTGCCTGCACTCTGAATTCCTTCAGCATATTCCCAAGTGATGTAGAATCTTCTTTGATACTCTTTAACTTCCTAGTCACAGCCTTGTGTGACTTTAAAAGACCAGGAGTGGATTGTAGTCCTATGGCTTTTTTCCTTCTTATCCTCTTCCTGATGTAATGAGGGCCCCTGGCAGGCAGCAGACTCCTCTGAAGAGTTTAGCTAGGCAGGCAGCAGATGAATGCCTTGGTGCCCTTCAGCACAGTCTCCAATTACTTACACCTCTCACTTTTTTAGTGGTACTGGTTGTGACTCTGGTTTTCAGTTGGACTTGCTTAATGTGGTTGCCCCTTTCTGGATGTGAACCACTACCAATGCTGCCTTCTCCTTCCATTCCCAAAGATTCATATCTGTTGGCTAGGGAGAACAAATTGGGGATGCTAATCAAGGGGTGAGTAATTATTAGGGCAGTCATAAATGTTAACTGTACTTTCTTACCCATTTGTCTCCTAGGAGAACTTTGCAGCAGTTGTATGCTGCATGGGTTAGAAAAGAGGCCTTTCCTGGTGCTGCGCAAAGTAAATGAATTGCAGAATGGCCTGGGTCCTGAAAAGGACCTCAAAGGTTGTCTTGTTTCAACCCCCCACCACAGGCAGGGTCACCAACCACCAGACCAGACTGCCCAGAGTCACATCCAGCCTGGCCGTGAATGCATCCAGGGATGGGGCATCCACAACCATTCTGTGCAAACCGTTCCAGTGCATCACCACCCAATGAAGCCTCCAGCTTATGCTTTGTTCAGAAAGTACACTGAAGTACTGCAAGATTTTCACTGAAACCATAGAACACCTTTCCAAACCCCAGTATGAAATAGTGTGACAAGAATCGATGTACCATGCCTATGAGCTGCCACCTCATTGTGGCAAAAGCCAACCCTGCATTCTGCAGAGGGAGGTGCAGGTTTCCTCCAGCCCTCGCTGCAGGCACTGGTGCCACACAAGCCAGCTTTTCAGTTTACTGTCAACCACTCCACTTGAAGCAACTGGCTTATTACCTAATACATGAAGGCTATTTCGTAAGCTGTTTATCTCATTCTGAAAAGTTCTGAATATCCTGGTGGATGCTCAGCTCTTGTCAGAATCCTGATAAGCTGCTACTTGCGATTTCTCGTGCCATAAAAATTTGATTTCAGTATATTTGGCAATATGGACAGGATCCATATTATGCAGTTATGAAGACTTCTGGGGAACAGTCATTGGAAAGAAAATTGTAAATAAATGATGGAGAATTCCTTACAACAACTTAATGGGATGCCTGTCCCCTTCTCTTTTCAAAGCCCTCACCAAAGGCAGTTTCATTAAACTCATCCCACTTGAGTAAACTGTAAGCAACTCTGCAAAGGCTCTTCCATTGCAATCCCATTTGCTGCTGATAGTGAGAGGCCTCCTACTCCCAACCAGTGGGTGGCACAGATCACTGCAGGAGAGGTCAGAGGCACTGTCATAACTGATGCCATTAAATGGTTGATGTTTTGTCAGTGGATTTGGTCTTGCAGATCTCTACTACATCTGTAGATTTTGAGTCATTACGTACAGCTCTTTGTGCAGGAAGATGATTCAGTGCTGGCTCTGGAAGCTCCTAAGGAGCGCTGTATTCTCCTTTAACCCTGCCCATGTCCCCAGCCCACCTTGGAAGTCCTCGGCTTCAAAATTGTTCTCAGCACCTCTTGCATGCCCTTTGTTGTTTGATGGAGTGTAAATGAATGATTAGTCTGGTGATCCTATGAGGCTGTGCCATTAATTTACAAGACAGCATTATAACACAGAGTTTTTTTAAAAACAGCATGCAATCTAAAGTTTTGGGGTTTTTTTTATTGCTGTTTGTTGTTGTCAATTGATAGTGAGAGCCATTAAAGTCCCTCGCTCTTCTGCTTCTTTGCTAAATTGAATGCCCTGGGAGGAAACTGTTTTCAGATTTGTGATTTATGCACTCATCGTGACTCATTTTAATGACTTTTAAGCACATCCATGAACTTTTCATAGCCATGTTTAAGAGAGTAGAGACTGTTTTGTAACCTCTCAGTTCTTGATCAATATTTTAATCTAATTTACTCAAATATTTTGTATCTATTTGTGTAGTCCCTTTATTTTCTCCTCCATTTTGTTCTTTACCAGTCAGTAATATTCCTCCCAAACAAGCAAAAGGATCTTCACCTTTTGTATGCAGTTTTCTTATTATTGTTTTTAGTTTCCATAAGCAGCTGACAAGTGGCTCATTGCATCTGTGTTTACTGCTCTGCCAGATCTGATGTCCAGAGCAAAGGGGCTGTGGAATGTCATGGTTTAGGGCCTCTTTCCTCTGTGCTGAGGCCCAACCATGGGTGCTGAGCAGAGCTTTTTTCTGAGGGTGTATTTTGTGGGCATGGCATGGTGGTGATGAGTTGGTGGCTGGACAAGATGACCTTAGTGATCTTTCCAATCTTAGTGATCTTTCCAATCTTAGTGATTCGATGCTTTTATCTTTCTGCCTGTTCTTCAGTTATTCACTTCTGCCATTTTAGTGACTTCTCGCCCTTCCATCAGGGCCTTGTTTTCACCCTTGTCCTACTGTTCTCATATATAGTCTCTGATTTTCAAATAAGAAGTGTGTTATTTTATGCCTCCTCCCACCAGAGGTATTCAGAGAAGTGAAGGACTGCAGATCTTGCTGACTTTATGTAAAAACGTGCTGCAGCTGTGGAGGGAAATGGGTGAATTTGTCCCTGTTTAAAGCCAAAAGACACAGCCCTATGCCCACACACAGCTGGTACTCAGCTGATACTTACGGGTCACCACCTTGGTATAAAATGATGTTTCATGGCCGCCATCCAAAAGACAGCTTTCTCATGGTATGCCCTTGTGCCTGGCCAAGGCACAACAAGGTGATGCATGGGGCAGAGCTGGTTTTTGTTTGTTGCCTGCTTGGGGCCATTGCTTGCACTAAGGTGTGCCTCCTTGCTGCTCTGTGTCTTGGCTCCTTGCAAGGTGCCATGCTCCAGCCCTGCAGCATATCAGCTGGAAGCTGGGCTGCAGAGCAACCTGGCCAGCAGTGGGTGAGGCTCAGGGCCTGCCATGCTGTGATGCTGTTGGCTGTCATGCTTCCTTCCCTCATGGCAAAGCTTCACCTCATGCCATGGGTATGAGCAGGGATTGTGAGACCGAACAGCTGGACATCAGCTATTGTTGTCTTTTGCAGTCACATCTACAAGAAGAACCACGATGTGACCAAAACTCGGAAGGGAAAGACAGAGCAGCTTCTCAGAGTCGATGACCATGACTTCACCATGCGGCCAGCTTTTGGAGGTGAGGAGCAAGTGGTTCTGTTAACTTCATACTCCTGTTGTGTTGCTGGGTTTTTTTAATGGTTTTCTATTCCATGAATATGAACGGAAAGAATGGAGTGGTTTCAAGAGAAGACTTCCAGATAGCTACTCTTCACTCCTTCCTCTGCTAAGGCCAGCTTCTTCTGCTGGAGTTCCCCAGAGCACAGATTGAGCTTCCCAGTGCACATGCATCTCTAAATACCAGGCATGCCTTGGCCTGCTACAAGCACAGAGGGTTCCCCTTACTATTGTTGCAGATCCCTTACCCTTCTCCCTTTTCCCAAGGTGTTAAAAGAGAGAAATGTGGAGCGTTCCTCTGGCTGCTTCTGAAGCAGTAACTATTTCTTGTCTTGGATGGTTGGATGCTGGAACAGGCTGCCCAGAGCAGTGGGCACAGCCCCAAGCTGCCAAAGTTCAAGGAGCATTTGAACAGTGCTCTCAGACAGAGTGTTTATGTTTCGGGTGGTGCTGTGCAGAGCTGGGAACTGGACTTGATCTTTGTGGGTCCCTTCCAACTCAGAATATTCTGTGAGTCTTGATTATTTTCATCCTACATTCAAATAGGAACTCCTACAATATAATCTGGCTGCAAATGTTTTCCTCCGACCACCTTCGCTGTTTGGTACAAGGCTAGTGTGTGTGCCAGAATGGTTCCTTTTCCCTCATGGTAGTTGTGGTGCTGAAGATTATCCTTACTCACTACCACCATCTGTTTGTCCCAGTAGGGCTCTTGGGGCAAAGTGCAGAGGCAGAACCAGATCTGAAAGCACATGGGAACCCAGCCTTGTAGCTCTGAGGACAGCTCCTGTATGCATTGTGCATGCTTGTTAGTGCTGAGAAGACAGGACTGTGTACAACTGGCAAACAGGCAGCAAGCAGTGGGAAGAAAGAGAATCACAAATTTTTGCTTTGCTAGCTCAGGAGACAAGTCATCGCTAAACTGATCCATGATTCTGTGGTCTTCTCAAGGGTGGCTGCCCAAGTCATATTTCATCTGCATCTATGAGGGGAATAGAGCAAGCAGAGAAATACGGTCAGCTCAGAGGGAGGGTGCAGCTCTGGGACCTTTGAATGACTTGATGGCTCCAGGCTGAGTGACTGGTTTTAACAGCAAATGGGTTTCCCAGCTCTCACCGAAGAAAAAATACTTTTAAGTGACTTTTTAAAAAGACAGAATGGTGTTTCCATATTTTTTTTTAAACCTCCTCGCTTTGCATAACAACTTGGAACAGAATATTGCCAAAATTGCTCTGAAGTTGCACATAATAAGGAATAAAACGTGACAACAACTTAGCCAAGACTCCAGCCTTGCAAAATAAGACCAATGCACAAGGAGATAGCTTGGGTGTTGCAGGTTCTTGCACAGATAAACAGAGTGATGCAGAGTGCTTTTAGTGACAGATTATATACTTGATGTAGAAATATAAAGGAAAGAAAATGATGATAAGAGGTGATCCTTGTGTTTTCTTTTGAAACATTATCAGGAAGTCACCATGACTTGCTATGCACTATGAGTTCCTTCAGATATTTTGCAGGAGTAATGCCAGTGAAATTGATGTAGTCTGACCTGCATGTGATTACAAAGGCTTTTGTACTGCAGAAGCAGAGCAGAAGAGTCTATGGGACACCTGTGACTGCAACATGTCACTACTCCCAGACACTTTCTGCTCTCTGAAAGTAGCTCAGGGACCATCACCCAATGGAGAGTGCAGCCCGTGGCATTGCACTGTGACATCATGTTCCAAGTGGGAAAAAGCAACTCATCTCTCTGAAAAGCAAACCAAACAAATAATACTATAAGCAAACTGTGATGCTGGACTTTTCAATAATAAAATTCTTTAAAAATCCAATATTGTGAATGTGATGTTCCCAGACTTAGTGGAATAGTTGTTAATAGAGTTTGTGGTGGCCAGCACACAGCTTCATCACTGAGCTTTAAAAAGGGGACAGAACCTGTAGCTGCTGTGCTGTGCTTATGGTAACTCGCTGCTCCCAGCAGACAGCCAGCAAGATGTTGCCCAGCATAGCTGTGAGCACTCCGCAGAGCAGGTTGGGGCTGTGCCAGAGGAAACAGCAGCTAAACATTAGAGGAAGGTGAAAGGATTTTCTAGTAAGAGTGTCTTTTGTGAACAGCAGGTGGGCAGGTGGGTGTTGTGTAAGTCATGTTGCTAACAGCCCAGTGAGCATGGCTGTCTTGCCTGTTCTCAGCCCATTAGAGAGCCCCTGGGCACAGTGACAATGACAAAGGTTTTTGCTTTGCTACTGTTCAAAGTAGCCTCCATAGCCTAAAATAGGTTGAGTTTGGTGTGACCCCTGGGAAGTTATCTCCATGTCGGTGACCTTGTTCTGTCTAGCAGATGTTCAGGTATTATTTACAAATATTAATATTTAAAGATTATGTAAATGTTTGTTTTCCTGCCTTCTTTAAACGTCCATTTTAAGCATTTCATCTATGACATGTTGCATTTTACAGGGAGCCAGTGAATAAGCAGCTTTAGTTGATACTTAAAATAGCTGTATCTTTTCTGCCTCGGAACATCCTCCCGCTGTACTTTTATCATATTCCTTCATAGCCTAATAGCCTCCATCAGCTGTCCCCGCTGCCCTTTCTGGGCAGTGTTTCCATCAGGATGGGTGAATGAAGCTTTGTCACTGTCTGGAATAAGACCTGCTCATCCCTTGGTGACACACAATCAGCAAAACGTGAGGGCTCTGCAACTGTGTGGCAGCTGCTGAGCATGTAAAGGACCAGAGATGCATATATACATATGTGTTATGTATACATGTTTCTATATATGTTCACACAGTAACACTGAAGATTGTTTTAAGGCTTGTGGACATAAAACCTCTTACTTGCAAGACTCTGGGCATGCACAAACTATATGACAGCAAAAAAAAGTCTCAAATCTGCTTTTTTCATGTGCACATATTTTTGTCTTGGAGACTAAGTCTGCCTGAGCCCTTTGAGGATAGGGGAGGGTGCAGAGAGACTGTCTCAGAGAAAATAATGAGCCTTTGAAATCACTGCCAAAGAGTAAAAAAACAGGAGGTCTCACAAAGCTTTAGTCTCAGTGTGGGAGTGGAAAACTGACTTCAAGCATTTTTGTTGTGCCACTTTTTTCCCTATCTTCAAACATACCGCAGTGTTAAAAATAAACATCAAGTTTGAAGCCTCAACCTCCTGCTGCTCTGTGGGCAGCTGACCAGCCTGGTTCAGTTTCCTTGCTGCACTGGGATATGATAGGCTTTGGTGTTAGGCACCTTCTGATGTTGTCCCTGAACTGAATTTGTGGAAGCTTCTGTGCTTGCCAGAGAAGTTAGCCCTAAACTAGATGTTCCACACAGCTTGGGACAGAATTGGTGTAGAAAAGGGAATTTTTGCAAGTTGAAGCCACCAAGTCTTCTCAGTGTCAGAAACCACCCCACATGGAAGCTTGTCCAAGCTTTTGGTTGATCTGTTATTGTCTGACCACTGAATGTAGAAGCAGAATGAGCCTTCTGTAAAGGTCTTCTGTCCCAGATCTTTTCACCTTCATTTCTATTCTGTCTGCAGTAGAGTGCTGAGTTTTGTGAGCTACTCTTCAGCAAAAGCCATTAAGCATTCAAAAGAACATGGCGGAAGCAGCTTTAGAAGGTGATGGGTGAATGGGTGCAGTGTTATTCTTATCATAGAATCACCAGGGTTAGAAAAGACCTCCAATATCATCTGGTCCAACTGTCCATCTACCACTGATATCTCCCCATTAAACCGCGTCCCTCAGAACAACATCTGAATGTTTCTGAACACCTGCAGGGATGGTGACTCCACCACCTCTTTGGGCAGCCCATCCCAGCACCTGACTACTCTTTTGAATGTGAAATTTTTCCTAATATCCAACCTGAGCCTTCCCTGGCACAGCTTGAGGCTGTCATCTCTCATCCAATTGCTAGTTATGCAAGAAAGGAGCATAAAAGGAAAAGTGCTCCCATCAGCCTCAGGTTGTGCTGCAGGTCTCTTAAACTCACTCTCAGCTGTGTCAGAGATGCGAGAGAAATAGTTTATAGCTGGGAAGATGAGTTCACTTCTATATTGTATGTAGAAGTCTGACTTTTACAGAGTTGTGGAGGGTTTTTTTTTGTTTGTTGGTTGGCTGGTTGTTTCTGGAAGAATAAGGATTTGTGTTATGCAAGATGTTGCTGTGGACAGCGTTGGCCATGACTGATGCTGATGTGTTCATGAGGAAACATGAAGGCTCTACAATTTATCTCTAGATCCCGAACTTCAAATATTTGAGCTCATGTTTGAACAACCAGTGGTCCAATGGATTGGACTGGTACTTCTCAGAGACCAGAAAGCATGATCTGCAAAGCTTTGCTGGGCTGCAGGCTTTGGGCAAAAAATCCAATGGTTTTGCTGGGGATCTGTTTGGCCTCCCATCACACCTTTCTTATCCTTTGCTCCCCCCAGTAAAGACATTTTGTCTATTTACTCATCAGTGGCGACATTTGATAAGGAATTCGGGGAAGCATGTGAGGCCTCAGTGTTCAAACACTTCAGTTTGTAGAGAGACAGGATTGGAAGTTTAGCAGATCCCGACTGACTCTGAGGATTAGCGAGACCAAAAATCTCTTGGCTTCTTTCTGTGTCTAATCAACAGCTGTTTAATTCAGTGCTATGCTCTGTGCACATCCAGGCTGTGACCCTTATGGGAAACTCAGATTTGTTTACAAGGCTTAAGGAGGGCACTTCTTTCCAGGGCTTCTGCTCAGCTTCAAACAATGTGTGCAGTTTTGATGTTGCCCACGCCAAGTGTGTCTGCAAAATGACATCTAGATAGGAGTTTTGGAAGGGTGATGGTCTAAATGAATATGCAGAATGTTTGCTCTCTGATTCAGATAGCACGGTGTTTACTTGGCCTTAGAAGCTTCGTATGCACAATTTGAAATTTTGGCATACAAATCACTGTAAAATAGTGGTTAAAACTGGAACCTCATGTTGTATCAGCTTCCAGACGGGTACCTGGTCTCTCCTTGCAATGAGGTAATGGCTTTTTATCTGGGATCAAGCTGAAAGTTTTGTGGAGGAGCATGGAATAAAAGAAGTGCCTTTTCTGAACACTGGCATGGTATTTTATCTCTGAGAGCAGCTAGGGAAGGAATGAAGAGGAGGGCAGTGTTCTTCTGTTGTTAGTTTTTAAATCAGTGATTAGTGCTCAGTCAAGCATGGAAATTGCAGCAATAAATAGACTTTGGATGGCTGGCAATTTCCTGAATGGAGCCTAAATTAAGCATTCAAGCACAGAGGGCATCTCTCTCCATCTAGAAGCTGGGGGGTACAGCCCCTCAGCACCAGGCAGACCCTGTGGTACGTATGCGGCTGATGGCTGCCTTCCTTGTTGAGCCAACAGGATGCTGCTGCAAGGCTGCTCTGGCAGAGGCTGCCTCTTCTTTGTGAGCATTGTGTCTGCTGTTGGTGTGGCTGCTTGGGGATGGCAGCCAGTGGGCACCACTGCAATTCCTACTACTGTGTGTAACAGCAAATGACAAATTATTGGTGCTTTCTACAGCAAGAGACAGGCTAATGGCAGCCTTGTGCCTGTTCTGGTATGGGCTGTCTTGGGTTCTGAAGCTTTTCTGAGCCAAATGGAGACAAGCAGCATTGTGTGAGAGTCCGTGCTCCAGCTTCACATAAAGAGCATGGTGTCACCACAAGTTTTGGAGCAGTTTTGTTTGTTTGCATTTTCTTTTTTTTTTTTTTTTTTTTTTTTTTTTTTTTGAGGTTTTGGAAGCAAAACAAGCTTAAGAAACAATCAATCATAGGAACATAAAATATGCTGATCCTTCTGAGATTTAATTGAAAGCTTTTGTGCTAGTGTACAGATTGAGTTCTTATGAGACTGGGACTTCAATGGTTTTAATAGCCTGTAATCATCCTTCTGCTGCGTCATCTGATGTGATCACATCACCATCACTGGATTTGCTACAAATCAGGTCTAAACTCCATCATGCTGTGCTTTTTGAAGGGAGGAAGAGACCAATACCAAGGAGCAAAGCAAACAGACAAGGATCTTACTCTTGAGTGTTGAGGATTTCTGTTACAGCAGCAAGTTACACATCAAAAATATGGTTACACTAAAGAGCCATTGGCTAACTAAAGGCAACGGGGGGATATACAAGTACTGAATCATTGCCCATGCTCTCCTTCGCCACTGTGTATGACTTCACTAAGTATGTGAGCAAAGAAAGGTTAATTGCCTATCTACAGAGCATCACCTATCAGTAGCCTTGTGCTCTTTCCCCGTTGATTACCCTGCACATCAAAGAAGCTGTTATCACCACAGATACACTGCTTGTTGCTACAAAAGTCTGTCTTGTTTTAAAAAACAACCTTTTTCCTTTCAATTGAAAGAAGTAACAAGCCAACTCCTTAATAACAGCACTATAGGAGCTAATTTGCTTGTTAAATTATCATCCCTCATAACTACTCAGCTGAAGAGGACAAAACCATTGCCACAGTGTTTTCGCTTAATGAAGCTGTTGGTTGTCTCTGGTCACACCAGCAGTGTTTGTGAGGTGACAGAATGGCCACGTGTTGGTCCTTGCCTGCTGGATGCTGGACTGCACATTGGGAAGCTGCAAGGGGCCTAAGCAATTTCTCCTCCCAAGATGGGCAAAGAACAAAACAGAAAAAGGGTTTATGGCAATGGAATCAAGGAAATCATATTTGTGGTTTTGCCATGGATTTGCATTTCTCTAATGAGTCACGGTGGTCTGAGAAAGAACCCGATGATGAACCATCATGTCCTGCATCCATATTTTAGGAGCTGAGCATATTTCCTGGTCTATCAGATGTGGAGTGGCTCACAGGGAGCTGAGCTGTTGCTCCCAAAGATAAAAGGCTTGTTGACTCTTATTGTCCTCCATGCCTGCCTCTTCTGTTACCAGTGGTCAAATTGGGCACCTGGCAGGACTTTCCCAGAGCTAATTCACTTCACTGATTGGAATAAAATAGTCTACTTGTTGCTGTTGCTTTGGTTTTGGCTAGTTTGCTTTTCCATGGGTTAGTGAGATCAACAGTCTGAGAGAAGGGCCCACGGCTTATCTGTGCAATATCAGCCTCTGCTGAAAGATCTCCCCAGAGTAATTTGGGGGGGGAGTTGAGGAATGTTCTCCCCTGTTAAATGAGCACACCTAGACTGTGAAGCCTTGTGTACAAGGGGAAAAGCCATCAGCCCTTCTCAGCCTTGCTGTTGAAAGGAGTTGTCACACCATGTCTGTATTTCAGCAGCTGCTGCAGTTGGGCGATCTGTGGGTTTTCCCAGTTCCAGGGAATAAATAGGAGGAAGAGAATTAACTTCTAAAAAGGGGATAATTTCCTCGGCCTCCAGTGATGCCTTAAGGAAGCAAGAGTGGCTCATCTTGTTGGACTGAAAAAACACCAACACTGTAGATCCTGAACGTTCCTGCAAGCCTTGATGAGTGCGACTGCAATCTTCTGATGCCTCATTTCTGCTGGGCAAATCACATGGATGTCTGCAGAGCTACTGTTTTGGTCTGTCAGTCTGTCCCAGTGAGGCTGCAAGGTTGGAGGCATGCTCCAGATGTGTGTGTTAGTGCAAGAGCTACCAGTCCCACTGCACCAAGCTGAGAGCTGAAGCTAGCACTAGATCCACACAGGCTGCTCCTCAGCAATTCCTTGGTGTGCTTGGTGTGCAAGTCTCTGCATGCACTTAACTCCTCAGCACAGTGGAGAGATGGAATACCAGGAGATACCTCCAGAACATATGTAAAATCAATGTATGTTGCAACAACAAACTGTGGTACACAGCTTTGTCAACCCTCCTCACTCCTCTGACTAAGAAGCAAAGTAAACAGATAAAAACAGCACTGTCCAGGCACAGGCACAGTGCAGAACAGTTCTGGAGCAAATAACAGCATGTTTTTTATTCACAATTCAGTTTCCTCAAGTTCAGAAGCAGAGCAGAAAAAAAAAGAAAAGGGAGAAAAGTTGTCCACAGTGGAAAATGAAATGAGCTGTGGGAAGATACACTACAGGGAACTTGAGCAGCTCTTGGCTGTTAATGAGCAGCAATATGCAGAGAAACCTAGATATATGGGTCTTCTAGTAACAGAGGATTTATCATAGCGTGTTTTCTGCTTTCTTTGTGAATTCTCTGGTTGCTAATTTTAACACTGCTTTGAAAAGCTATTAACGTCATCAATGAGTCATACAAATGAATACGATGCTGGGCTCTTGAGAGATTAACGTAGCTGTCTTGTCGAGAAATGAGAAACCCACAAAGAAGACTACATTGCTTACAGCTTCTTATCAGTCTCTGGTTCTCAGGGCTAAATTTCCTCTTATAAAGATGTAAAATGTATAATGAGATGGCTCAGCTTCTAGAAACATTTGCAGATGTTTCATTGTAGCTCACCAAAATGTCAACACTGCAGGGCTGCTATGGAGAAGAGAAGGCGATGTTTCACAGGGGGTCTCACATGATTATTGACAGACTTGTTTCTCCGTCCTCTCTGCTTCAAGAATCATGGACAGGAAGGAAACCATGAGCTCAGAAATGTGTTGCATTCTACCTCATGATGTTAATCAACTGCAGATGATATAAAATAGCAGTTATTTACATACCTAAATCTCATTCTCTTACAGGCCCTGCAATTCCTGTTGGAGTGGATGTGCAAGTTGAAAGTTTGGACAGTATTTCTGAGGTTGACATGGTATGTAATCCTTGTGATCCTATTTTATGGCTAGGCTCAACTATTGCTAGTGAGAGAATGTCCCTCCCTCCTGAAACAACGGGGTTTCAAATTGTTAGCCAGGTGAAAGTACTGGCAGTAACTGGCAAGTTCACAGAAACTTGACAAAACCAGCTGAATGTCAAAGGCTGATCTCTGTATCTTCAGATGAGAACTACAAAAGATAAAGAGAATTTAACTGGTGCTATGAAGGATCTGTCACAGCAAAAAAGTGTAAATAGCTGTACGGAATGTTTGAAGGTATGTGATGAAGGTCACATAAGCCATGACATTTGCAACAGTTTTCTTTGCTAGGGAACCATTGAGTCTATCTCTTAAAATGCATGATTTGGGGAGGTACATTAGAAAAAAGAGTTGGCATCACAAATGAAAATGACCAGTTCCTACTTCTTTGTCACTAGGAGTAACCTTACTGGGGCCTATGATGGGGAACTGTCAGCATGAGCTTGAGCCACCTCTACCAACATAGAACTTGGTGTCTGGGAGTAATTATTTAGTCACTGAGGCTGTTCAAGAAATTTGTATTAAATTCAATTGTGTTTTGATATCTTTGTTTTTTGTTACTTAAAAAAAAGGTAGAAATGTAAGAAGTATGACATTCAACACATTTCAAGATATTATCACTGAAAAGAGTATTTGTAAGCACTTTCCTGGTTTGGTGTTTTTCATTTGTTTCTGGCTAGAGGTAATGGAATTAAGAGCGGAAAGAGAATTGGGAAGGGGAATGTAGAGGAGAAGAGGAAGTTTTTTGATTCCTTCCTCCTTCTGCCTTCTCCTCCTTGTTCTTGGCCACCATCCATGGTGGTGTACAAGCGAAACATGAAGGCTTACTGGAATAGATTTAGGCTGACTGCATTTTACTGCAATGCAATTACATATTCATCACAAGAGTAGGGCTTGCCTGCCTGGATATTGAAATAGAGGGTTTGGGAGATACACACAATGAACTGCGTGGGAAGCATAGGAAAGGGCTGTAACGAGAAGCTCTGGAGCTCTAATAGATCAAGATGATGTCACAGTAGTGAGGAGAACTAATTAGTACAAGTAAATTTCTTTCAGTGCTTTCTCTTCAGAGCATCTGATTTCAACAGAAGTCTCACCTATCAGAAAGCTGTGAAGTCAGCTCTCTTTGCTATAGATAGATCTGCAGTACTGGTTTCCCACCACAGGACAACTTCCTCCAGCGGCTGCTGATTTGCATTCATGGTAGGAAGACAGTCTGTCAGATCATCCTAAGCCAAGTTAGTTTGTTTTTCCAGCACTTTTCTCACTAGGGTGAGTGGTGCCTGTGGAAATCCACCAGCCCCTGCAAATGTGTCCCACTTTGGGCGCTGGAGGCTTCTTCGACGTATTCCTGAAAAACCCGAAGGCAATATGAGCTTGTTGCCAGAACAGCCCTTTGAAATGGAAAGTCAGGTTAATCGATGGCTTGGCGTCAGCAGAACAAGAAGAGGAGGTGATAGCAATTTTAAAAAGCAATTGAGAGGTTAGGAAGGGATCTGAGCCTGGGTTGTTGATTGCTCAGTCTTGGCAGCTTCAGCTGCTGTAACCAATTTCTTAATAGGGAATATAAAGAAAACGGTGTGTTTGATCTCTCAGTGTGAGGGAGTAGATGCAGCTCTGAAAGCAACAGCTGCCAGGTTGGAATCAACAGATGTTTTCCTTTGTGTGAGTGAAGCTCCTGACCCCTCAATGAGATTAAAAGAGAGGTTTATTTATATGCTTCTTTGATAGGAAAAGCAGTTCTCCACTTGGGTGCTGTTTGCCACAATTTAGTTCCTTTGGAGATAAATTACTTGTGTTTAGCCTGACCATTTATCTTATTTTGAAAGGTTTTCCTCTTTATCATTCTGTTGGTGCCGTACTCTTTCAAGATAATTTTGCCACGACTGAAGAATACTTTCTGCAGGGCAGTGCTTCTCTTGGCACATGTTTATATCGCCTTTAGGACTGTGTGTTACGGGGTACTGTAATACACTGATTGTGGATTTATGTTTTGTTTTGGCTGAAATGATTTTGTCAGGATTATCCATTTAGAACAAGCATTGGTCTAGAAAAGGAATAAAAGTCTAGAAAGGATGTATTTCATTTACCTAGCAGGAGTGAGTTTTCTTTCTGGTGTTTTTGAGATGTGAAAAGCAGCACTGACAATCCTCTTTCTGCTTCTCTTCTTTTTTTCATGAAGGATTTCACTATGACTCTGTACTTGAGGCACTACTGGAAGGATGAGCGTCTCTCATTTCCCAGCACCACCAACAACAGCATGACCTTTGATGGCAGGCTGGTGAAGAAGATCTGGGTTCCAGATGTCTTTTTTGTGCACTCCAAAAGGTCCTTCATTCATGACACAACCACAGATAACATCATGCTGCGAGTGTTCCCTGATGGTCACGTCCTCTACAGCATGAGGTAAAGGTCCTACACCCTGGGTCTTTACTGTCCATTTTGCCCTGGTGTGGCTTTGGTGACCTCCAGGACTTCTGTTGCCAACACTGCTACTCCTGAAGCTAATGCAGAGCTCTGTGGCCATCGGCCCCTGTACCAGATGCTTCACAGGAAGCTGAGAGAAACCATGCTGTGGGCAATAACAGGATAATCTCCCCCAGGGAAGCATTTCCCTAAGTCTTTGTGGTCAAAGGAGGGCTTAGTCAAGCAGGGATGTTCGTCCCAGGGTCAGTGTGTGATTAAACTGGAAGCTGCTGATGTACCAGATGGTGACCTCTATAATTATCCTATTTTGCTTCCTGTTTGTCTGGAAATACGTCTTCCTTTTTTTGTTTGAAGCTTGCATGTTGATACAAAGTAAGTTTACTGAAGCTGAAACAGCAGTATTAAAGACACCTTGGAATCCCTGATTCTTCAGAACATGTTGACTGGAAGAATCTTGAGACACATCCCAACTGACTGTATTTCCTTCAGATGAATAGAAAAAGAGAGGCAGGGAAAAATGCACTGCCAGAGGAGAAAAATTCAAGAGCCCAGGCAGAGGGACATTTCCCCAGGACAGGAAACTTGCTGTCGATTACAGTGATTTTCAAATGTTCCATAGCACAAGGATTTATTTTCTAGAACCTGGATTTTATTCATTTCAGATATGGCAAAATAATGCTCAAAATCTAGATGTGTTTCCCCCTCCCCTGTCCCATTCCCCCTCAAAAACAGTAAGTTTGATTCAGGAGGCTGTTTGTCTTCAAAGAATAAGCATAATGTGCAATAATTTCCCAAATAAGGCAATATCCAGACAAACCAGGGGGCTCTGAAGTTTGCTGGTTCCACATTCCAACTGCAATTATGATGAATTTATTTGAAAACAAATTACGGACAAATTGTTAAAACCACAAAGGAAGTTGTGTGATGAAAAAAAAAAAAAAAAGAAGAAAAAAAAAGAGAGAGATGCTCTGTACAGTTACTTAATTTTGCCTTATGTTCCTGAGCTATAAAATCCCACCTTATTCAAGCATCTCAGAACCTGCCCTCTATTCTGAACCCATTTATTGCATACTACCTCAAATAAGCTCAAGATGCTGTCCATTTTATTAGAACTAAATGAGGATAAAAGTACCACATAGGATGAGAGACAAGGGAGCAGAACAAAATGGAGAGGGATGTTTGATGTAAACTTGAGTCAGTTCTGACAGGAGAAGAGCAGAAGTAGCAGGGCAGAGGTCTTTTTGACTGATGTTTCAGTATAGCTGAGTATCAGTTGCATTGTTCCTGACCTGCAGTTGTCATGCAGAGACGCCAGCAGCACTCCTCTTGTTAGCAGTGTTCAACTACCAAAATGAAGAATGAGTGTGTTTAATAGCAATGCTGTTTCTATTCAGTTCTTCTCATTTGCTCTCTTGCATTTAATTTCAAAGTTTTCTGAGCCATCGAAAGGGTGATGTGAATTTGTAATGTCACAAGAGAGAAGAGTGTGAGCAACCATGGCTGACTACACTAGAATTAAATTGATAATTAACTAATAAAATCCAAGGATAATGAGAATCTGCATGACATTTGGGACTGGCAGTGTTTAAGACTCTCAGAACCAAACGCGGTTGCCCAAGCATGAGATTCAGTGCTGCTGGATATGCCCTCAGATATCTGAAATCTCTACATGAGGTTGGTACAGAGCTGAGGGGTATTTCAGTCCCTTTGGGGATCTTGTGCTTTCAAGGCCACCTGAACACTGTACTCTAATTGAGGAATATCTTACTGATGAGTTGAGTTTCTGTGTTGTCCCTAACAAACTGTTAATGACCATGGCTTGTTCTACAATTTAGGTAACGCTGAGGGAAGAAAATAGCACACTGTAAAGGGTTGGAGTTACATGATGTGTTTAATTGCTCCGTACAACTATGGGAAGTCAACAATATACTTTCTGGAATGAAAAGCTTCTCTAAGTTCACTTCATGTGACTTGCTGTAAGGCTTATCATGTTCCTTAGGTTTGTTGGTGTGGTGGTTGTTGGTGTGACCAGGGGGGAAACTGAACAAAGGGAAAGCAAGAAAACCTTAAGCAAACTGGACAAAATGGGATCTTGATATGTAAATGGTGAAGTATTTTTTGTTGCTGTTGTTACCTTGTAGGGAAATAGTTGGATATAAATGATAGAGAAGTGTCTGTACTGGCAGTATTACCACAACGTAATACCACACTTTAGTTCTTCGATAGGTACTGAGATTACAGCTACCACAGGAGTGCAAGAAGTGCTGAGCATTTTCTTGCAGATTTTTGCTGTCTTTAAAGATGCCAAATTGTTTATATGTCCCTTCATTAATCCTCACAGAAAACAACCTTTCTCATTTTTTATTTCCAGGATCACAGTGACAGCCATGTGCAACATGGACTTCAGCCACTTCCCCTTGGACTCTCAGACGTGTTTTCTGGAGCTGGAAAGCTGTATGTTGTATCCGCGTTTCTAGTTAGGCATGCTCCACAGTTGCTGCACTCACAAACTCTGGACTGTTTTAAAGCCTAAAACAATTTCACCAAAGTCACTGGGAGTTTTTCTATTAACTTATTGGATTGCATACCTGGACCTTACAATGCAAGACCAAGACAGGGGAATTTGCAAGGAAAAACTCTTGGATGAGTTTTGGTGAATGGCACCTTCAAAAAAAAAAAAAAAAAAAAACCCAACATAATCAACAACAGCAAAAAACAATCCCCAAGCCCCCATCAACAAGGGTCTTCAACATATATTGGATCTCAGCAGCTTGCTGATGAGAAATTTTGGGGAGAAGTTGTATTCTGTTTGTTATTTCTGATTGGGAAGGGATGCTTTTAGATGCCACAGTAAAAAGCTGAGTATAATGATCACTGATTTTTCTATATTTCAACACCAATATGGTTTATGTATGATAATCATGATCCTGCAAACGCTGTTGCTTGTGTTCAACTTTTTTAAAAGGAGTTATTCTGTGGAGAAGGTGATTTGAACAGTATGATTTTCATGGCTGTCTGTAAATCCCCTCCACATTGTTATAGGCTAATGTTTAACTGTTTTCAAGTCTTCCTGGTTATTGAACTGAAATTGTCCTTTAGAAACAACAGAATCCCAAAATGATGGGGTGGTTTATACTGGGGAACAGTTTCAAGTTGGTCCTGAGGTCAACTGGCCCAACACGTTGCTCAAAGCAGGAGAACTTTAGAGAGGCTTTCTCAAGGCTGTGTCCCATTGAGTTTTATATCTGCAACATAATGGAGGCTCCACAACTTCTCTCCGCTATGTATTCAGATGTTTGACAGTTCTCATTGCAAAAAAATTGCCTTAGAAAAAAATCCCCTGCTGCAGCTTGTATTCTTTTTGCCTTGTCCTTTCACTCTGCATGCTTTAGTACTGTGGTTTCATTAACCTGGAGTAAAGAGGATGCATTTCCTGAATTAGGATGCCCTGTTTTGTTGTTGCCACAGTATATCACATGTTAAGATCTTTTTCATTCACTGCTATTAGCAAACTTTTGTGGCTATTGCATGCTAAAGGTCCCTTTCTGTTTGTTTTCTTTGAATCCATAAAACATTTCCATCTAAAACTAAATCCACACTACACTGTGTTTCTTCTTTCCCTAAGATGCTTACACTGATGAAGATCTGATGCTGTATTGGAAAAATGGGAATGAATCTCTGAAAACGGATGAGAAAATTTCTTTGTCTCAGTTCTTGATACAAAAATTCCACACTACATCAAGACTGGCTTTTTACAGTAGTACAGGTATTGGTCTTTGCTATTTAAGGCTATTCTTGAAGCTAATGCTGTACTGCCTACTTACAAGAGAGTTCTGAATCCTCCCATGCTTGTTTTGAAAGATCAGTTTCTTTTTCCTCTGCCCTTCAGAAACAAAAGGTCTTGCTTCTCTTTGGCTACCATTCATTCTGATCTCACCAATTCTGCCTTTCCTTCTTTCTCAAAGGTTGGTACAATCGTCTCTACATAAGCTTCACTTTACGCCGACACATCTTCTTCTTCCTGCTCCAAACCTACTTCCCTGCCACTCTGATGGTCATGTTGTCCTGGGTGTCTTTCTGGATCGATCGCAGGGCAGTTCCTGCCAGAGTCTCTTTGGGTGAGAGCAATCACAACGAGCCACAGCTGTGTGAAATTCTTTGAATGTGAAAATTTTGGCAGGAAAGGGAACCGTTCATTTTTATGGTCAAAGTTTCTGGGGAAACAACTGTCTTTTATCTAATAATTAATGCAAAATTTGCAGTTTGCCTTATGTCCTTCCATTGCTAAGCAGTCTTAGAATTAGTCCTGATCTATAGTTAGCTCAGGGCAGAGCTGTGGTTTCAAAAATGAAGGTGGGCAAAGAGGAGAGATTTCATTATTTATAAGCCAATGAATCAAGGTTTATCCTCGTTGTCCAAGCCTGTAGCGCTGAGACTCATGTACCCATGAGTGAGAGTTGTGTTTTAAAGTTTAGGTGCCTGAACTGAGATGAAGACTTACGTTATAACTTTCATCCAGAGCAGGATCCTGGCAATATACATGTCTTCTCACCCAAGGGTGCCTTGCATTCATCGTTCAGGCATTCTGGAGTGGGGAGGAATGGGAAAGAGAGAAGGAGCTGCTTGAAAATCCTGCATGCACCACTCTGCAACTTGGGATGTCTAAAGACAGGAGAAGCTTTTTCTATGTCAGAGCTGGAGGAAATTCTTTTATCTGAGCATAAAAAGAGCTGATTTGTTTATCACTCCATGCAAAGATTAGAAAAAGCAGAAAAATCTCTGAATGTTGATATGTAAGGCTTCCAATGCTAAAAGCATAAAACAGTATTTTAGCCCAGCACCTTAACTTGACTGGAAAAAATGTTTTGACTGGATATTTAAAAAAAAAAAAAAAAAAAGAACCAAGAAACTCTTGAAAAAATGAGCAGTAGTAGCTGTGTTTGTAGCAGTCACTATTTTAAAAAGGCTCTGTTTTCTCTATTTCAGTAGCTTTGACAGCTTGCAAGTACTTTTATTTCCACAAGTATCCAAACCAAATATATTTCTCATGATTTTATATCTATCTAAATATGTGAACACACAAACAAAACACCCCTATACACATACATTTTGCATATACAATTATACATACATATGTACGTATAAATACCTACATGTGCTAACATCTATATCTATATATATCGTATATTGGTCACTTTCAAAATGTTTTGGTTCCTATCACTCCTCAAAACCCAGCCCTTCTAGTGAGCAGAAATGCAGGCAGCAGAGCAGTTCTGTATCAGTAAGAGATACTTACTACTAAATACTGCACATTTTATTTCTGATAGAGTATTTTGCAGAGCAAAGTTCTATTTTTCTAGAGACCAAAGGCTGTGTAGAATTCATCAGCTAAAGCCATTTATTTCTGTTGTTTCTTTTCAGGGATCACCACTGTGCTGACCATGTCTACGATCATCACTGGGGTGAACGCCTCCATGCCCCGCGTTTCCTACATCAAAGCAGTGGACATTTACCTGTGGGTCAGTTTTGTGTTTGTCTTCCTTTCGGTGCTGGAATATGCAGCAGTGAATTACCTGACCACGGTGCAAGAGAGAAAGGAGAGGAAACTCCGGGAAAAGGTATGATAGCCATTCATTCCTTCCCTCCCTCCCCCCCCTTTTTTTTTAAATCCGATATTTGTATTGGATTCGATTAATGTAATATTAGAGTTGTTCCCTGACATCAAATGTCAACAGTTAGCCAAGGTTATGCCTGTAATTTTTGATGTTTCCATGCTAATGTCCAAACCATACGTAGAATTTTTTTGGTGCTAGTTGGTCTGGACGAAATTGAGGCCAGAAACCTTTCTGACACTTCAGTATTGTCAGTAAAGTGTCCCATGGGACACTCTCTGGGAATATTTAATTTATTAATGTCAACATAGACTAAAGTTATATGGAATATTTCTGCATGTCCACTGTTGATTTAAGACAGAGTGAAGGTGAGCTTCTAATATGTTAGGCTCCCATGTCCACGAGGATGACCATCAGCACATTAAGCCAAAGGAACTTGACCTGGGTGCTAAAAGTACATCTGCACAATTTATTTCTCTGTTGGGTCCTGCAGTGATAAACTTACTGCCTTTACCTGCTGTCCCTTCTACCCTCCAGCTCCCAGATGTGTCACCAGTTGATGATGACAAAGTATTTGATGTGACTTTTTTTTTTTTTTGGAGAGTGAGAGGAGGAAGACACAAGGGATATAACTTTATCTCTTTCCCAAGATAAATCAAGTTTCTCTTCATACAAAAAACAAAAAAACCCTTAAGTTCTAGGTACAACTACTTCATAATAACATATGTCTTTAAAACCAGCCATTCAATTCTACCCATGGACTGCTCAGAAAAAGTCCTGGATCTGATGAGTGGAGTAAACAGGCTATAAACTTGTCATGCTTTTTTTTCTTCACACCATATGCTGTGAAAGCATTTGGTTATGGCTAAAACACAGAAAACAGCTCATACACTGTTTCTCAAGCTTTTACTGAGCAGCGTGAGCTGTTGGTTAAATAACTTGAAGAGCAAGCTTTGAGTGTGGAGTTTTTCAGTAGCAACCTGAATATGCTGTATTTCCAAGTATATATACTTTGTTATTTTGGCTGAATGCTGTCCTTATAAAAAGTCCTTGGATAATGCAAATGTCAAAACTGCCTGAAGAAGGAACAGAGGGCAAAGTATTACCGGGTGAGGAAAGCAAACAAAGCTGTGGGGATTCAGAGTCAGGAACTTCTTGCAGAAAGAAGGCTGGTTTTTATTGCATACAAACATATTGTCTGTATTGTTAAGACAGAAAACATAGATTTTCACTGTAAGAAGACTTCTTCCTATTTAAAATTCTTCCTGCATTCACTGTGGGATGCATTTTGGCACTGCTGAAATCAGTGTCAGTTTTGAAATGGACTTTGAAAGAGTTAGGGTTTTACACCCTTCTTGTAACTGTTTCTTGTCTTATTAAAAATAAAACAAAAACATATTTACATAGAAAATACTGTGTATATCTGTGAAACCACAACTTGGCACCTTTTCCCATAGCATGTACTGAATAAGACATTGCTACAGAACACTGTGTCTTGCCCTTGAGTAATGATAAGCCCAATGAATGCATAACAAGGAATCTCAAGACAGTGAAGTTGAACAGTGAAGCTAGGATCTTTCACTTAATTTCTCTATCTGCAAAATTACTTTCTCTAATCTTTTCTGAAGCTGCTTGCCAAGTATAGCTAAACCACATCTCCTCCTTTTGGAACAAGGAAAAAAAAGTGATCTTTTGTTCCCAAAGTTATTTTGCTTTATGACACTTCAAACTCACACTTCAAACTTTACTGTTTACAAGCTGTCTGCTACAAGAAACTCACCACTTCTAGCTCTGTATTCTTCTAATATGCAGCTGTATTTCTCACTTATGTTCCAGTTTCCTTGCACGTGTGGGATACCTCATTCAAAAACTATGATGCTGGATGGAAACTACAGTGAATCAGATGCCAACAGCCTGGCAGGTTACACAAGAAGCCAGATGGTCCCAGAAGAAGAAAAACAAGAAAAGATGGTTGTGCACTTAACCATGAGCAATGCTTCTAATTCATCAAGGAAGAGAGGCCTGAAAGGCCATGTGGGCTTGCGCATCATCCAGAACACTCATGCAATTGATAAATACTCCAGATTAATATTTCCAGGCACTTACATATTTTTTAATTTGATATACTGGTCTGTCTTTAGCTAAGCATATTGCACAGCAGTGATCGAAGCAGAAGACAGTCACAAAGCTTTCTTTGTTAGTACTTCTTAAAGTCCAGTTTTGTTGCAAATGCAGAAAACTGATAATTTTACTAGAAAACTGATCATTTTACTGATACTTTGGAGGATAAAGAGGAGGACACTTCCAACCATGGGCAGCTCCATGCACAGCATCATGGAGGATCTTATTCTACTTGTTGCTCTCTAACCCACACTCCAGCTCTCATTGGCTTTGTGGTACATGCTGTTTCTCATACTTGAAAATCTGTACTCTCTGCTTGCCCAAAAGGTGCTGTATGTGTATTTGGGGCTTGCAACAGTGAAATGGACTACCAAGAGATAGACCATGCTGGGGGATTAGACATATGCAACTTAGAATCTCATGGAAGGGTTGGAATTATATTTCTTTCCACTGACTTCTGAACAAGACATCCTTTTAGGGTCCACATTGCCTTCTCTCTGGACAGGGCCTACATTAATACCAGAAGGAACATTGGCTGACCAAAGTGCTGGTGGTATGTTTGAGTGGGTGGTCTTTTTATTTTGAGATGTGAAGTAAGGAGCAGTGATAAAGCAGGGCAAAGAAGCCCACAAACTCACAGAAGATGTCTCCCAGGGTGCACAGGTAATTCAAATACTTGTGTGTGGCATGCACAGTCACCGTATGGGAATGGGCAGCATCTCTGGGACCCATCACTTTCTCCAAAAGCAGAAAACTGTCAAGAGCAGTACTAGTAGTGTTCAGAGATTTTTCTCATCCCTGTGAGGAAAGTGCAGCTCACAGAGAAACTGTGTATTCCAACGTGCTTCTCGAAACCAACACATTGCCCTTTTGTTTAGAGTTTTCAGATTTTTGAGGGGGAGAGATGCCTGCCAGAATATCCTTCTGCAGAAATATAGGCATGCCAGAAATTGAAGCAGCCAGGAATAATACTGTGGGATTCAATGAAACCCTCTCTGGCCTCTGGCTCCAAGGTCACTGTAAGCCCTTTGAAACAGCTGGAGAGCATTGTAACAAGCCTTGGTGCTTTTCATTTTTCGCCCTGTTATGTCAGCTGAAAATGCTGAGAATAAAACCCAAGTCTTCCTACATGATAGCAACTAGACAATGTTGGCCAGGTTTGCACACCTTTTGTTTCTGAAAAACATCATGGCTTTCTGGCTGTGGAGGAGAGCATACCCATCAAAGTGTTTGCTGTTAAGCTGAAATGCAGCAGAATGGACAGAGACTGAAGCATAAAGACCCAGGACTGAAGCTTAACACTGATTCAGTGATAAGATTCAATTATGCATGTAACTGGGGTTGGGACGTGAAAATTCAGCTAAATCACATTAACATAGGGGAAAAAAAAACAAAACAAAAAAACACTAGTAAAACTGTAACTATTTACTGGTGTGATTTTTGTTTGTTTGTTTTAACACAGCAGTAAATCTTGCATCTGAAATCTCAAGGGACATAGAAGTGGACTGGGAATTGCAACCTCCAGACTATCAGCAACACCCAGAATTTTCTTTGTGCCTCAGATATTGCTGCCTAAGTCACACCAATGGTCACACTTACTGGAAACAGGAGCTATCAGGGAAACTGAAATGAGGAACTACATTTTCCTTTTCATCAGCCACAGTAATAACTGGATTTAGTGAAGTTCTGTGCGGATATAGAAGCAGGAAAATACAGCCCAGAAATCACTGGAGAGAAGGGGAGCTATGGGAAGGCAGCATCTGAGAGGAAGGCTCATCCTGCATCCCAGTCTGACATTTCAATCCTGAGCCATCGGGTTCATGCATTTACCACTCATCAGCCTTGAAGCTGAAACCTGGATAACTTTTGCATTAACAGGTGAAGATAACTACGTTGAAGAGATAAAAATCTCTAAAGAAAGAGCCCTCTCAACTTTTGAGAAATTAAAGCCTGAATGAAACAGGATGGACCTCTTCAGTATTAGCAGCTTTGAGCATGAGACAGTGAACAGCATGGTGCTGATGCGATCAAGTGGAGCTGGCAGAAACCTTTGCTGTGGGATGAATGCTGCAGGAGCCAGTAGGGCTGCACTGCTGGTGCTGCTATCTTCCTACACAACCCATGCACATGGATTCAGCCTCCTAGTGCCTCTGCTTCTCCATCAGGAAAATGGGGAGCAATGACATCTACCTACCTCAGGAGGTGATGAGGGGTTTAACTGACTTAAGGAGGGCATGTACAGAGAAGTTATGATTTTTGAACAGGACTACCTTACTGTTTTTGTTTATGCTGGTGTATACGACTGATAGAGTAGTATGTACTGGAACATTCACATCTGTTTCTAGAGCATGTAAGGAGGGTATATTGTCACTAAATAAAAACAAAATCTCTATCTTGAGCACCACTTACAACTACAACTCGTTAAACAATAGATGAAAAATATAGACGTGAATAAAACCAAGACATCCACCTCTGCCAGGTTATGAATTTTGTTTTTCTGATTATTAAGAGGAGCCTGGCTAGACATGAAGCTAGAGTTAATATTAAAGTATGATACTGAGAAGTAGTTTCAACTCTGATTTCTCCTGAGTTACAAGAGACTTCATGAGCACTGACTTGCAGCCACAAGATCCAACCAATGTTTTGGAAAATAGTGCCTGAAGAAGCTGGGCTCTGACAACTGCGTGATGGATGCAGCCCAGTTCTGTAAAGCACTGAGCATCTGGACAATTAACCTACTAAAGGACAGGTTTTTCAGAAGTGCATAAGGGATTTGTGGAAATAAAGCCTACTAATGAGTATACCATCTCCACATAGCCCATTCCAATCGGGAGGAGACAGAACGTCAGTCCTACTCCTATGTCTGCTTGCATCGTATTCTTACCTCTGTGTTACCAAATCGTGTATTTAAAAAAGCAAAACCCGCCACAACATATACACACACACACACATATATATGTAATGTACATACAGGTAGCAAATAAAAGAAAACACTGGAATGTGTACCAATGTCAGATAGCGTACATATGTGAAATTGCAATATATTGAATGTAAATTACACCATGCCTGAGAAAAACTTACTGAATATGTTGATCTGGAGAAAGGCTCTTATTGTCAGAAAAAAAAAAAAAAAAAAAAAAAAAGCACTGGCCAATTATTCCATAAACAATAATTTCTCTGTGCTCTCATGTTTTCTTCAGAAAAAAGAATGAGTTGAAAAGATTTCAAGATGGCTGATGCTAATCTGGCTGTGCAATGGGTACAAACTACTGTGCTGATAACTGTAATCAAACCTGGTAATTAAATAGCAACTGGAAAGGGTGGAAACAAGTCCACTTTGTGGTGTGAATTTTAAAGTATGATTTAAACTCTATTTCCAAACATTTGCTACATGCAAGTTAATGACCAGTGGTAAAATATTTGAATAAACATCTTATTTGTAACTGATTTTAAATAAAATGTGTCTCAGAAGGTGGAAGAAACTCAGTAGAAGCATGCAAGTTGTTAAGTACATAAAGCTCCTTGGAAAACCAAAGCCATTAATTACTGCTATAAGCTACAGAGATCTTTTGTGATAACTACACCTCACAACTCAAGAAATTTTAATAATTAAAATTTCAGGGCACGTTTTCAAAAGCCTGAATAGCAGGTAGATTTCTCAGTCTCCATTTGACTATGAATGAAATCTTGTCATGTAATTCCTCCTTTGTGCTTTGAAAAGATTCTCTCTGTATGTACTAATGGAAAATAAAACTGCCCATAGGCCCCAGCTGCCCAATCTTTGCTGTTATCCCTCCCTCATGCAGACAATGCAACTGAAAAGCAACACATACAGACTAGATTGATACCAGAACCACTGAATAATGGCTTGCCTGTTAAGTTTCCCCAGCCAAAAGATTAGAGTAAGGCACAGTCCAACTGGGATGCTACCCTTCTGAAGTTTAAACAACTGAAAAATGCATTTAAAAAACAGCAAGACTTAGCACTATTAAAATTAAAATGTAATCCAGCCTTTCACTAAGCTGATTAATTCCTTCACAAAAATGACATTTGAAATAATGCACCAGGGTCATTACTCTCCCAGTTAGAGGAATTACCATTTCAGATGAAGTGAGAACATTGGGGAGAAACACCAGCCACGAGCAGGGCAAGTGCTGCTCTTTGTGTCCATTTTTTTGCAGCTGTGCAGGGCGCCTACAAGAGAGGAGGAGAAGACCCAGCTCTCCCAAGGCAGCTGATGCCTGGCTATCACACATCACCAAGTGGTACTCTATTTTGTGCTAGAAGCTGTCCTGTGCTATATGGGACAAGTCCTTCTGCTGGCTCCTTTAGCTCAGGCTCTGCTCTGGAAATGAACAAGGCCCCAGACTGACATCCCACATAGCCCTGCCTCCTAGAACCTCACAAGACCCTCGGCAGGAAAGGCTTCTGGCTCTTGGTTTGCAAGAGGTGCTCAGGCTCAGACATAGCTTTGTTCTTCAGATGAACTGTGCCTTGTGCCACTAGCTGTCGCTGCTAGTTTTCATCATGCCAGTGAAAGAATACTTCACCCACCATTGTGCATCTGCTGAGGATCACAGCTAGCGAGCAGCAAACTAGGGCTGAAAGTCAGCCTTAGCATGTCACACTGTGATAGCTGGTGGGCGTAGGACATAGTGAGTTCCAGCCATAGACTTATTTCCAGACTGATGTGATGATCTTACTATTCTTACACATCCTGCGTTCAGCTGTATAACACTATAATGTGATGGGAAGCACAGCAATGACAGCAGGGTAGCAGAGTCCCAAGCGGCAGCAAATGAGGATAAGTCCAAGTGCAGCAATGATGGATACAGAAGCAAAGGAAAAAAGCCGCTTACCTTTGGAAAACCCCAGGTAGGCAGGGATCTCTGTCAAGATATGCTCACCTCCACTGCCAACCCTTAAATGAGGTCTGGGAGGGGGTCAATCCTGGCTCCACCCCTTCTGGTCACTCAGATGCGTGGCCCTGCCTTCCCACCAGGTGCTCAATCACTGGTTCAGGCTATAACTTAGCATTTGTGCTCCAAGCTGGCAGCCCCACAGCCCAGCTCTGAAGAGATGGGATTCCCCCAAGCCTTGAGGCAGTGGTACAGAGTGGTGGTACACAGTGATGTTGATGTTTTGACAGAAGGCTTGGGTTACAGTTCTGGCTGCGTGTTGTTACCTGATCCTTAGCCAGCTGTTCATGGGGCAGCCACATAATATTGGGGTGTCTTGAAGGGCATCCCCCATCCCTGCTTTCATTAGAGACTTCCAAACCAGGACAACCTTGTGTTGTCTGCTCCCCAGAGCAAATAGAAAGTCTTTAGAAAATGATAAAAAGGCTGATTCATGCCTCTGAGAAAACACATAAGGCTCATTTTGGCTAGTTGATCAAACGGAGTTTCTCCCACAAGTCTTTTAGGGTGCTGTGAGTGTTGATATGTGCCTTCACAAACTTAGAAATCAGCTTAGGAAACATGCCTGGGAACCCAACCCGTGGAAAATGCATATAAATGATGAAGGGAGAAGAATAATCTTCTCTACTTGTCACACAGATTTATAGACAAAAATTGTGTGTTTAGCTTAGAGGGAATTCAGAAAAGAAAATGAAAGGAGAAGTTAATGGTAATGACAGTTTGAATTGCTTGAATGAATATATTTTGGGAAAAGCAACAGAATGCTGGGGTTGTGAAAGTATCTAGCCTCCTGGATCTTTCCATTTTACTTGGATTTTTGCTATGATATAAATTCATTTCAATCATAAAATTTTAAATCTTTACTATTAAGGTGCGTAATGACCACATTTTGTAGGTAAAGTTGTGAGGAGATCTTTAGTGCCTCACGCTGACTGTAAAAGCAATGGCTTCCAAGTAGAAGTACCTCTATTTTGCCAGCTACTGTTTCAGGACAGAAAATGGGAAACGTGGAACTATTCAACAACTAGGTGGGGAGACACAACACTCTTCAAAGAGCCAGACAAGTGAAAGGCCATGTAATTGCAGGAGGCAGCGGGGCCTTCGCTAACACACCTTGCTGGGTTGCTAGATGCTCGGTGCAGTGCTCAAGCAGACTTTGTGAGACTGCATGAGAAGGTCTGATTGGGTCAGATCTGGAGACCATAACCAGCTTGGAGAGTCCCCCCAGTTGTGACCATGATATGGATGCAAACCACTACCTCGGAGAAGGTAGATAACAAGGACATTTCCTCAACTCGTGGTCCCACACACTGTGCCCCTGTGGGCACCCTTTCTTTGTGGGGTCAGTGCTGCCAAGTGGCTGTGCTCTGCCCCAAAGTCGGTGTGTGGAAAGAAAGGCTTCTTTTTCCCAGGGGGCAGGGATTGTCCTTTCCATTCTGTCCACGGAGGAGCTCAGTGCCTCGGTGTGATGGCTGTTTGCAGGACTTTGCTGCCAGATCCCTGTCATATCAGACCTGCCATACCTACCTGTGAAAGCTCAGGCTTCATAGGATTGGCCAATTTGAAGAGCAGCTGCTATACAGCACAGAAAGCAAGAACAGGATTGAAATGGGAGGACTTGCTGATGAGATGCGGCCAACTGGCCTGCCTCAGGCTCTCAGGCACTCTGTGCCCTACATGATCAAAGAAGTGAAAACCGTGTAACTCAATTTTGAGTGGAGCTGTTAGATGGAAATTGCACTTTGGTGAGCTGCCCAGAGCCCTCTCTGGCATTTGTACAGAGCTGGGCTTGAGCATGAGCTCAGTGCATGTCATTTGTTACCTCAGCGATGCAGTAAGGCCTGGCATTGAGGCGATGTTGCCCAGGGGTAATGTTGCCCCTGGACTCTCTTCCCCAAACTCAGCCCTCCCACAGGAGGGTTCTCACCATCTGTCCTCAGCATCCTCAGACCAAGCTTAGGAGGACACAGCTTCCATAAAAAACAAAGAAAAAAGGGGAAGAGAAAGAGGCAAGACATGGAAACACCTCTCCCCCTCCCAAACGAAAGTATTCCTGTGACCATGCCAAAGGCAGGGTTTTGCCAAGCCATTAGCTGTTCCTTACTTCTCTATTTTTTCTTTAATCATGGCTGTAACATTTGTGCTTTCTCTCCCTTAGTCCTCTCAGAGCTGATGTAAAAATTGCAGCATGTCAATATTCTTCCCACGTCACAGCTGGTGACAAATGGCATGAAAATATGTGACTAATGGCTCCAGTGCTCTGCCAAAGGGAGAGATCACTAAGGCTGTTTTGCAGTGCAAACCCCATCCGCAGGGCCTTTTCTTTACCATGTCAATCCAATCAGCCAATTAATTTAACCAGGTTAATTGGCAGGAGGTGAAACAACTTGATACAAATAT